ACCGCACAGAACTAGGCTAAAGGCCCAGTTCAGGGCCTCCTCCCCTTCTCTCCTCACTCCTCCCATAAAGTCAGTCTACAGTAGTGTATGTTATCGGTCCACTCTTGTGCTACATATCAGAGAGTCACAGAGTAAGTGTCACAATACCGTCCCGGGGATTAGGAAAATTAATGAAGTATGGTTTGTCGGAGGTCCTGGGAAAAAAAATAAAGTCGACTCTAATGTAGGTAAATACGGTTTGACCCACAGAGGACTACATATTACCTAGATAATGTTACGGTATAAATCTAATAATACTTGACATACTCGTATCGCTAAATTGGAATATTGAATTAAGAGTTGGTAGAGTTGGTAGATCACGTCGTGACTCAGCAACTCCGGTCTGTGTTAAGATATAAAACTGTCCTTTGGAGTAACTTAGTTGAACTTTCATTAGGTCATGTACAAATCACGATTCCTTTATCTCTTCATGTATAATTGTCTTCTGAATAGAGTCTTTGGAGTAAGGTTGAAATTTTACAATGTGTATAAAGACTGTAATAAGTATCATTTGTTGTAAATTTAGTCTAAGTATGAAAATCTTAGTAATTTGCAACAAGTCTGCAGACCACCATNTAGAGCTGTTGAGGGCCGTACTATTAACCATTATCTGAAGTCTGGTGCTGTTTTGAGCATTTGCATAGGAGTTACGACATCGTGTTTTTTGGCGAGGGATGCGTTTCCATGGAAACAGCCTATGTTGAGATCTCAGATTTGGCGTAGAGCTGTTGAGGCATGGACCGGTGATATACAAGTGAAGATTGGGGGACGATTGGACCGTGTCCATTGGAGTTACAGCGACATCGTGTTTTATGGCGAGGGATGCGTTGTCATCGTAACACCAGATTTGATGTAGGGCTGTTCAGGGCCACATTGGTAACCATCATGTCATGTTTGTTGGCGTTCTGAGCATCAGTTGGAGTTATGACATCATCGTGTTCCATCACACAGGTGTTTATGTTTGAGCTAACAACATTATGAAACACCTGTCCTTGAGCCCAGAGATCAAAGGTTTCCATGGTGATGTACAGTAATCAGTAAGAGGAGAGCCTTTCCATTGTTCTGAATGAGAAATAAACCTCTTACATGTGAACGTTTTGTTTAAGAACCATAACAGACATCAGTGAAATGTCAACGCGTGAAGCATCTCAAGGACCCTGAGCATCTTAAGTGTGCTTTTTGTTTACTTTCGGGTCAATAATGTGGCATTTTTGGCAGCTACTGCTGTGAGGAAAGATCAGCCTGAAATTGCAATGGTTCTTAATGGAGACATGTTGAAAGTATTTGTCACTTCATGCCCTCAAGAGGCATTTTGTTTAATTATTTTACTTAATTATTTTTAATTTTTCTAGCTACGAGATGTTTTCCTACGTTTCTCATAAGTGTAGGGTTTGGGAATTATGGCAGGTTTAAAAAACAAATATGAAGGCAAATTTCAAGCTGTCCTCCACTCTAGTTGTGACTTCACGCACTCTAGCCTTAACGAGCTGCGCAATACTAATGTTAAAATCTGAAGAAGGACTCTTTACCAAGGTCTGAACAACGTTTAATGATTCTAAAAGTATGAATCTGATTTAAATGTTGTTTACTATGAATAATGTCAGAAATATGTGTAACATTTTAAAGTTGGAATGAGGTTTCTGAGTGAAAGTATGAAGGAATAGTTAGCAGTTGAAGTCGCATGAAGATTTTTCAAGTCTGAAGAGTTTCTCCATTGACTTATTATTGAATTATGGGATATATCTCGGGAATTATGAAGGTTATGAATGAGAAAAGTAATAGCCATTGATTCTCGATCGAGCTGAACGTTTTGATGTTCGAACCGAGTTTCTGCAATGTGGAATGTGGGAGCAGAAGAGGCACAAAATAACCCGGTGGAATAAAAATAAAGAATTTTGTGCGTAGAACAAGTAGTTGGAATGCTGTATCAGCATTCCCACTAAATAATAATTTTAAACAGTTTCATAGAATATAAGCGTCTCTTGCAACATCTAATAAGATTCTGTCTATAAACATTGATTTGTATCTGTACCCACTCTTTCCTTGCTGCCACCAGAAACACAAATGTTTCACAGAGCAGACGGAGGAGAACGGGCTAATTTTGGTAATGGCTCCCATCTGTTTGAGTACAGTTGTCAATATCTCTGAGTCCATTCCTGAAATTAGACCTGTCAACCCGTGTCAAAACTGCACTCCTATCATCAGTCCATCCATCCTGCCAGTCAGGCAGCTATTAATGCCATGAGCCACATGTTGGACCTCACTGAAAAACACAGACTGACAGGCAATTACCAGATGTTTCAAGAATCAGAATCAGAATCCAGTTGCAGGTACGTTGACACATACAAGGAATTCGCTGTGGTGTCTGATGGTGAGAACATAAACATCTGAGAAAAAAGTTGTAACAGTAGGTCAAACATATAATGATAATAAAAGGAAAGTATATTAAAAAAAATAATTAGCACAAAAAAATAATAAAGACAAGTATTTACACCACTTAAATTTGAATATACAAAAGAACCTAAAATGCAAGAAAACAAAAAAATGTAGGACATTGAATATATAACAATATATGACAAACTACACTGTTATATTTAAAGTGGTGGGCTGTGCAGAAATGGTTTTTGGATATATTTTATGGAAAACAAATAAAACATGTTAACTCATCCTGTTATACTCTATCATTAGAAAAAGCTTGAAGTAAAAAGTGATGTTGCTGCGCCCTTCTGAAAATAAAATAAATGAACAGAGAGAAGATGTAGGCTCTGTGCACCTGCTCCAGTTTGACACCTCAGATTCTGCGATGAATCCCCTTCTGCAGTCGTTTTCATGCTCCGAAGCCAATGAGTGTTAGAGATACATCACAAGCAGGAGACAGGCTGGCACCATTAGCAGGTCCAAACCATCACTAAGCTTGAAGTGTTTTTATTCCCGAGATAACTGTATGTGCAAACCTGGTTTCTGTGACATTAGTTTCCTACCTGGACCTGTTACTCAAACATGTTTGTTTTTTACCAGAGAACTTTGCCACAGCAGCTAATGGAGTAATATTCATCTTTTCAATTGCTCCGTTGACAGTACATCTAATAGTCTTGAAGATAAGTATTTGACGCTGAGGTGGCCAGGCGATGAATATGAGTTCAAGTCCCCAAAGCTGCAGGTTCAGCCTTATCGATTATCCAATCACAGCACCCAGCTCCTGGTCTGTCCATCACTCCATCTCCATGTGGACGGACCTTCCAGCCTTTTCTCCCTTTATTCCTCCATGGCCTCATCACATCATTGTGTGTTGGGGTGGGGGTTGGGGGTGAAAGGGCTGCAGTGATCATGGGAGTGTGGAAACCCCCCCTGATGCGAAGCAATCATAGCCGGCTCTCTATCATCCTGCCCCCTTCACTACCTCCATCCAACCTCTCCTCCCTTCCATTATTCCCACCTCACCAGTCAGAAAATTAGGGTGACACTTGGCCCTCTCTACCTCTCTTACCTCTCCCTGCATCGTCCCTCTTTCTATTTCTCACCCATTACCCCCAGTTCACTGGATGGTATATGGAGGGTGACACTGGGCCAATTCAATCTCTTATCCCCGTCACCCTCTCCGCCTGACGAAATGCCACACGCCTCACACACGGGCACACACCTCACACATCCCGCCCTGCTGTGCTATACACAACTCTCTATTTCCTCTACTGTCACTTCTGCTTTGCATACGTTTGTCTTTTTTTTGTAACCTTATTTTTGACTTTTAACTCCTATGCGTCTAAGGGAATATGTCGCAAATAATGTCATATAAGGCAGTAGTATAGTATGTCGAAAAAAGTAAGTATAATATGTCAAACATATCATCAAATAACATATTGGTATAGGATGTCAAAATATTTGAAAAATATGTATACTATAATATGTCGAGAAAAGCTATTGTAGTATGTTGAAAATATCATGAAGAAAAGTCATAGTATAGTTTGTGGAATTTTATAAAGAAATGCTGTAGTATGATCGAAAATATAAAAAATTAAGTTACAGTATAGTATGTTGAAAAAATGTGTACATATTCATAGTAAATAATGTGTAAAAAAGTTGTTACGGTATGTCGAAAATATGTAGAAAAAGTTATACTTATATACTTGTAAAAAATATTATATAAAATCATCAAAGTAAATGATGTTGGAAAAAGTCATAGTATTGAGAAAACTCATAGTAAAGTATGGCAAACAATCTACATCATAAAAGTTATAGTATTTCATGGTAAAAACATAAAAAAGTCACACTATAGTATGTTGAAAATATCCTGAAAGGAAATCAGTGTAGTATGTCGACAGTCTTTGTGATTTTGTATCTTCAAGTTTTATATTAGGCTGTGTGTGTAAGTAAAGAAATGCTTTGACCTTGGTTTTTGTTGTGGCCACACCATTAACGCCTTGTAATGCCGGGTATACACAAGGTGTTTTCAGAGCGTACCTGATGCCGTTGGTTTTGTTGAACCTGCACGTTTCTGGTCAGATTCTGATGACTGCAGCAAAGTGTTTGCACAGTTTTAGCCTGTGAAGAGGTCTGGGAGGTTGACCGGTTCTTTAAATATTCATCACCAAGTGTGCACCTTGCAGGCGACTGTGTCCCGGTGGAGTTCGGCCCGTGTCAGTCTTAATCTGGCTCATAGTACTTCTATATTCACGCCATAGTATCTCAGAAAACAATATATTTTTAGAAATGTAAACTTGCCAACTGCACGACAAGACTGCACTCTGCAAATTGAAACAAAGACAAAAAACAAACAGGAAATGCTTGGTTTCATAATAAAGTTTATTCTATATTACAAATAGTATTTTGTTCTTGACTGCAAAATAGGAATGCATTATATTTACATACACAGGTATACAATTAATTATAACAAAGTTAGAGAAGCTCGCCTTATATCCCCCAGGTTTCGTTTTGATCTCTCAATAAGATACTCTTTATCTTTCAAATATGGTCTAATAAAAGTATTTTCTAGCATGTTTCTGTAACACCTGCTATAACACTGAGCTAGGAGGACATTTTAAGTTCCTAAAAAACGTTTGAAGGTGGAAACTTTATCTGTGGCCTTGGCAACACAAGGTGGCTACTAGCAGACGACCTTTGTTGCAGGGAAAGATACGGGGGTGGAAGGAAGGACAGGATGTTACACCGGGGGGTAGATTCACAACGACAGAGCAGGGCTCACCGTGTGTTATCTCTAACACACGGCAGTGAGGGGACACTTTGGGTATCTAGACACAATATACATTGGCTACGTTAATGAAAGGGGGTTCAGAAGTACGTTTTTTACAATATTAATGCCAGCTTTGCGTGAGTTATTCAAGTCCCTTAATGAATCTTTATTCCCCTCATTTTCAATATGATTAGTTTGATATGTTTATTCCATGTCCAGCAGACGCTTTGTGAATGTACCCCCTCCAAGTTAACAGACATTCATCCTACTGTTTCTGCAGACAGTGATTCATGGACAATGACTTGGACATTTCACACACATGTGACACAAGGGCTAAGAAAGAAACAGTCACTAGCCAAAATCAGTCTTAAATGTAAGTAAAACCTATAAAAACTATAAAACCCATTGTGCCACTCCTGTTCGAAAGTTGTTTATCTCTATGCTAAATCATGTGTATACATTCTAAAAGGAACAGTAACATGTTTTTGTGACACATGGTGGCGTGCTAATGCAGTCTCTTGTTGCTCTTTATGCAATAAACTGTTTGCTTTCATAAGTGGCCATCTTTAGTTGCTTGAGTCAAGCTTCATAACTCAAAAATGTAAAAGTACATTTTCTGTTCTGGGCTCAATTGATATAGAACAAATGTAACAGAAAACTATAAAAAGAAGATGTAATAGCAGCAAAAACAGAGCAAGACTTAACTTGCATCTACTGTGTACTAAACTAATAATGACCTGTGATGAAGGACAAGGGACACAAATGTAAATCTGGGCTTATGGTGTCTTTGTGTGAGATCCATATTCTAAAAAGAACATTGGCTTGTAAATGAAGTCCAAAGTAGCAGTACTGTAGAAGTGTATGTGTGTGTATATATATATATATATACATACATACATACATACATACATATATATGTATATATATATGTATATATATATCTTTGAGCAAGGCAGTTCCATTTCATACCATCCAAATAGGTCAACATGCAAGGATATATACTATCTGTTTTATGTAGCATCTAACACGTCACAAAACTATGGGCATGAGGTTCTGCAGTTTGGATAAAGGTTCCACCTTAAACGAAAGTTATAGTTTTTATTACATGAACAATCCACTTTTCCATCTCGTTTCTTCCAAGCAAAAGAAAGATAAAAGAACACATCCACATCATCATTGCAAGGCTTAGTTTTCTTATTTTTCACTTTTTTTTTAAATAAGTTTCTTAAATTGTTTACGTTTTACATGCGCTTAAAAAGCCAATAAAGGACCCAAGGTGGACCTAGGGCGGTCTTCACACATTCACATCACCACATGGGGCACGTTGTCAAGGCAAAAGAAAGGGCAGAGGTCAAAGGTACGGAGGGCGCCTCCATCAGCTTTCAATCACGCTCTCCAACAAGTCGGATCTACTTTTAATGTCTATCGTTTTCTGTCTGTCCTGCCGTGATGCTCACACTTGTTGCGTTGCTGCTCTGCTTAATCAGATTTTTTTTTTTTTAGGTTTGGAGAAGGCCACCCCTGCCGCCACTGAGGAAAAGTACACTAATACAGACAAGAGCGCCTCAACAGTTACACACTCAAGAGTTGGGGTTTTGCCGTATGCAACTAGCTACCATCTCCAACGCTTGTGCAAAACAGAAAGAAACTGGTAGGTCAGGAGCCGGACACGGGGGGGAACGGTGTGCCGAGAGCTGGAGACCCAGGTGATGGAGAGAGGAAGGAGGGGGGGCTCACCTCGCCCATAGAGCCTCTCCCCTCGACACACTGAGGTCAGAAAAATCACACAGGTTTCTCAGAGTTCCAGTCACAATATTTTTTTGTCCTAGAAGTGGTTGACTTTACATAGTCCTTTTTTTGTCCGTTCCTCAGTGGCACTTTACAAATACATTTTTGACCGTTTTGAAAATGTCAAGCTCCTTTGGTTTTTGGCTGACCGACTTAGTCCATCTCGTTTGATTTCTCCACACAAAAGTCTTTAAGTAAGAACATCCTGGGAAAGGAGTGCTACTCTCACAGCAGACCCCTTCAGGGAGCAGAGCTGCATTGAATCATTCTTCTTATTGTTAATGTTGAAGCAGTTTCTTACCCAGTACATTTCAGTCAGCTTTCCTTTTACCTCCGCTAGGGTTGGCGTACATATCTGGGCAGTCAGGATCTTGTGCAGCTGCTGATTGTGTGTGTTTCTGTGCGTGTGTGTGCTTTGATAGACCGTCGCAGCACCGGCGACACAAGACGAGGACTGCTCGTGGTGTTTGATCAGCAGTCAGAACACTGTGGTCCAGGGTCGGTAGTGTGCTTCTAACAGAGGATCCAACTTGGGTCGGGGCCTCTAGGGTTTTGTCTAATAGTTTAATTTAGCAGTAACCACATAAGCCAGATGGAAGCAGAAATCATGAGCATTTTCTTTGAAGTAATGTATGCTGGGCAGGGAAAAATGTGCGAATGTTGCAAAGTGATATAGATCTGGGATGCTCTGGTTTGTCAAGTTTTTATGTCAGTCACATTTCAATAGCGGAAAAGTTCAGAGAACCACTAAACCTTCCCTTTCCCCATCAGTCTTTTTCTTAAATAAAACTCCAGCTACATTAAAGAACAAAAGAACATTCTAGGTTTGCCTGGACTCGCCCCAAATTTCGCAGATATGTATGCTTCGCTTGTAGGTACAGTGTAAACTTGGCAAACCATCCTTTTCTTCAGATGTTCATTTGGCTTGCAGTCATCATTTGTGATGTTTCCTCTTTATTCCGTACACTTAATATAGAACTACATAACTGGACCGCAGAGATGGTTTATCTTAACTATCCTATTTTGAAAAAAGTTCTCAACAAAATGGATAACCATCATTGTGGTTTTTAAAGAATTACCTATCGGTGTAAATTCTTGAAGGCAACATAAAAATGTTTTTCCCCTCTCTTCTTCCAGCAGGGGGACTAAGTATGCCAATGTGGCCAGCTTTCAAGCAATCACCCCTTGAAGCCTTCTCTGTGGTGAAGCTGAGGGATCCCTGCATTGCACTGTGGGGAAACGCCAAACTCAGCCCTGGACCACCCCTCAGATATCTTCAGGTAAAATAGTCTATGCAGCAGAGTGGATGAGGAAAACAAATTATCTCTCGGGGAAGAGGAAGCAGAAAAAAGGTCAAGGAAGAAGTCATCATCTTTGAAAGGCGGAGGGAGGAAGTCACATGATGAAAAAGATGGGGACAGGTCTTCGCTCAGGCACGGCTCGGTTTCTGATGGGGTCTTTTCCCAGTGCGCCCTGGGAAGTGCGGTCCTCAGCTCTCCAGACTCATGAAGGCCACCACCTGCTCCAGCTTGAAGGCCAGCCTCTGTTTTCGGGCTGCTTCGTCTTCCTCCAGCGAACACACAATCTGCCCGCAGCAAGGGGGGGAAACACACATTACTCAAGGTACTCAACATGACAAAATCATACCAAGATGTTCCAATGGGTTTCCTATTTACTTCTTTAAAGCCCGCGTCACACTGTCCCGAAATTGACACCAGATGGACACACGATAAAGGAAACGTTCAAGTTTGTCTCTGATCGTAACAACATCGAGCCATTCGTGAGGGCATCTTAAACCATCGTATGACCGCCGGTGGAGTTTCTCAGGCTGCCAAGGCACACNGTTCAAGTTTGTCTCTGATCGTAACAACATCGAGCCATTCGTGAGGGCATCTTAAACCATCGTATGACCGCCGGTGGAGTTTCTCAGGCTCCGGCAGCAACTTCGTGAGCGGTGGCAAAATCTTTGGCATGCCAAAAAATTGCCGAAAGACTTGCGAAGGTTCATTTTCGTGTTGAATTCATGTGTCCATTCTGCCCTTCGTAAGGCCATCGTGAGGGCATCTTGTCAAATCGTATCATCTTCGTCTTTACTTCGTGTGATCACCGGTGCCATCGGGCATTTTTCGCCTCACGAAGACAATACGAAGGAAACAAGAAGCTGCCCGATTGTCTTTGGAAGGCAACACGACTACGTGAAGCCCTCGCAATGCCGTTGTGTAACCATCGTATTATTAATATAGTACGATGGCATCGAGAATGCATTTATTGCACAACAAAATCATGTAAACATATTATGCAAATAACCCAATTTGTGTGTATGTTTAAATGTTAGCACCCCCCGAAGAGGCACAAGCTCTTACGTTGAGTCTGGATACAAAAGTCTACGACCATATTTTAGTGTATGGTTCGGGTGCCATCGTGTGGCTTGCTTCGGCTGTTGCTTGGCTGTTGACCAAGTTCGGGGCCATCTTCGTGCAAAATTCACAATTTCATATTCGTCTGTCCATCTGGTGTCAATTTCGGGACAGTGTGACACAGGCTTTAGGGGCAGCGGGTCTCAATTGTACATTATCTTAGATATTGATTTCTCAGTATTACGTACCTCCTCAGTGTATTTTTCCACATAGGAGTAAATCTCACTGAGAGAGCTCATGGAGTTGAACTCGTTCACGTGCATCCGTGACTGTTCTGCCAAGTAGGCGTTCATGTCCTGGTCGCTGATCGCTTGCATCTTACCAATGTCGGAGTAGTACCTAAAGAGACAGGAATATTAGAACAAAGCATTAACACTTAGAGGAGCAGAATACAGCCTGCACTGTTTAGTGAAGATAGTGCTGCTGTCTCCTTGGAGCTCATTACGCCTGCAGTTCTTTGAAGATATGTAACTAATATATGTAACATAGAGGTGTGTTGCATAGTTACAGGACTTTAACCTTGACACACACACACACACACACACACACACACACACACACACACACACACACACACACACACACACACACACACACACACACACACAGCATTGAGGTAAAGGTAATCAGTCACTGTCAGCAGCACCTGTGTTGCCCCTATCAACTATGTTAATTAAAGCTGCTTATTTACATATTACATTCCTGTAGCTGAGGCCCGGGGTTTGATAACTCTGGGATGAGTCTTTTCCAGGACACGGGTCTACAGAGCAAACTGAGCAAAAGAGAGGCAGGTGGGTGATGCTCATGGCCTCTGCACACTCCAACACCTGTTCAGTGCTGCAGGGGATTCTTTTAGAAATCAGGTGTGCTTGTTTTAGGAAACAATTTGATGACACACAATCTTTAATGTCTACAATGCATACATTAATATGCATATAGCACTGAATAATCTAAATTAAGGTTGATTTCAGCTATACGACCCTAATATTGTCCAATAAGCCAATAGAACAATTTAAATCTTTATTGCAAAAATGGCAGTTTTTAAAGAAAAACAAAAAAGTGACAAATTGTTAGCTTTGCAATTGCACTGATCCCTAGTATGCAAACCTACTTGTAAACAAGTAGTGTGACAGTATGACAGCCATGATGGATTTGTCATTGTCTGGAGACCATCAATTCCCACATCAAATTCAAGGCAAGTGTCAATATCTCAGGAGCTGGCTTCACTCCACAGCCCTGAATTAATACTGTAACATCAACATGCTGCAGCAAAGTTAAAGCTCTGTGGGACGGCTCTGCCCAACTGCACTGCCTCCAAATCCAAACTGCTGAATGTGCATCTGCAGTTATTACCTTATATCATTTATCAGCATTCCACAATGCTTTTTTCACAGTTTCTGCAGCATAGTAAGAACTTAAAGGTCCCATGTCATGGCCATTTCTACCTATCATAATTCCATTTCCATCTAGAATAGATTTACATTGTTCAATGTTCCAAACTCACATTGGTTTTCTCATACAGCATCTCTGTATAGTATGTGTATTCACTCTCTGTCCTAAACGGCTATGAGCCCACTATGCTCTGATGTGTGTTTATCTGTTACAATGGTGTTTCTTAGCAACCAGAAAATGACACCAGTAATGACAAACAGATGAGAATGCTGCGTGGGGTCTGGGTGCCGTGTTGGCGGGATGTTGCGGGGCTCACTGCTCCGCCCTTTGAGACGCGGGGAGCAGACAGTGTGAGCTGGATTACTGGTGTCGTTTCCTGGTTGCTGCGTGGGGTCTGCGAGACACGGCGAAACTCAGCCTGAACTCAGCCTGAGCACTGAGTGTGTGGCGAACTGTGAGTGGAGATCCACGGAGCCGCGGCTGAGAAAAGATAAGGCTGAGTGAGTGTGTGTGAGGAGCTCCACGGATTGGTCCATTTGGACCTGGGCATGGTTACGTCACCATACTCANCAGCCTGAGCACTGAGTGTGTGGCGAACTGTGAGTGGAGATCCACGGAGCCGCGGCTGAGAAAAGATAAGGCTGAGTGAGTGTGTGTGAGGAGCTCCACGGATTGGTCCAGTTGGACGTTACGTCACTTGGTACCAGGAAGAAAAATTAAAATCTCCAACGAGGTGTTCTGGGGCAGCATAGACAGGTCTTTTCTGTGTTAGAGTTACAGGGTGTACTTTGAGGGTTTTTGACTCTGTAGACCGTTTACATGCAAAAAAAGTTACATAACACACAAGGGGAGGGTAATAACCGGAAAAGCATGACATGGGACCTTTAATTCCTGCATGTGTTCTGTCCCTAAAGAGAAGCACTGGGGAAGCAGCAGCAGAGATTTCCTTTCATCAGCCGGCTCTAGGTAAGAGCGTCATGTCTTCACAATCGGGCTCTGACACAGGGGAGAGAAGGAGGACATCTCTTCTGTCTATGTTCTCTCCCTTTTCAAAGGTGGAGCATTCTGCCTTTGAAATCTTCCCCCTTTCAGGACCCTTGCTTTGGCTCGGTTGGACAGCAGAGTGAAGCGGCGCTGGATCCACCCTCACTCAGTCACTACTACTGAGGCTGTTGCAACTGAATAACACTTGCTCCAACAAACTGGCAATGAAGGCATAACCTATACACTTGAGAGTACAGCATGTTTAGTTGTACAGCTTTTAAAACAAGTATGCATTTGAGGTCTTTCACACACATAGACAGACACACACACACTCTCACTCACTCTCACACACACACACACACACACACACACACACACACACACACACACACACACACACACACACACACACACACACACACACACACACACACTCTCACTCTCACTCTCACTCTCACTCTTACTCTTTCTCTCTCTCTCTCTCTCTCTCTCTCTCTCTCTCTCTCACTCACATCTGAATAAAACTCATATTTCATTTTTTGTTATATGTAAGGGGATTCAAGGTCCTTCTTACAATGTGTTTATACGAGTGTATAAGTGAAACTAACATCATAAAAATGTATTTTTTATATATATATATTTACAGAATCTGTCAATAAACAGGTCTATGGTGCTATTATTTATACATATGAATCTCAAGTACTTGAGATACTACACAAGTACTAAATTTGAATATGCCCAAATATCTGATTGAACTCTGTGCATAGTCCCACAGTAGAAGTTCCTGCATTCTAATAGTGATATTTGATCATTGTTCAGCCTAACCACACATGTCCATGTATAAACCAGCAGAGGACACTCACACTTATGTGTATATATGGGAGACCACAGACACACACAGGACTAATGAGTATGGTCCTCAGCCTGCAGCCCCTCATGTGGTTCCTCCCCTTCAAGCTGCTCTCATTTATTCTCCCCCAAAGCTTGCCTTGTGACAAAGCTTCCATCCCATAAATACTCTGAACTGCTTCATACTGCCCCATCCTTTATTCAGGACCTCTTTCTCCTCCCCTGCTGTCAGATAGAGATTTAACAAATTACCAGCTTCTACTGCTTTCTATTGTCAAACTGTTTTTACCGCATACACTGATCCCGTTTCACTCTAGATCTCCTGCCCTGGGCATCCCCATCCATTCCCACTGTGTTGTGATTTAGATAGTGTTTCATGGCCCATAGATCACACAGCTACAGGGTTTGTCAAAAACAAAACAGGCCTAATAGAACGTTTTCTGATTCACTCTATAAGAGTCTCTCTCTCTCTCTCTCTCTCTCTCTCTCTCTCTCCATCCCTCCATCCATCCATCCCTCCATCCATCCATCCCTCCATCCCTCCATCCATCCATCCATCCATCCATCCATCCATCCAGTGGTAGGTGTGAACATTCCAGTGGTAGCTGCTTACCTCTCCACCCAGCTCTTGTAGCTGGGAATGTCCTTGGCATAAAGCAGCTTGTTGGAGGGGGAGTCCTTTCCAAGGCGGTGTTCTGAGGTGGAGCAGGAGTCCATGAAGGTCTGGGCCACCACAGACAGACAAGCGTCTGTGATGCTGCTCTTATGGATGTCAAACACAAACTGGGGGTTCTTGATGACGTTCACCCAGAAACGCAGAGGTAGGCTGCAGGGAGAGGGAAAGAGAACGAAGTAGTGAGCACACAAATGACAAGTTTTAAGCTTTTCTCTTTTATCACTGTTTAATAATGGTATGTAGGTGTGCCGCAGCCAATCAACAATGAAATGGGTTTTCTTTAAATGTTCAAGTTAATAAGAAAAGACAATGCTGTGGTGTTCAAATAGCCACACAAACAGACTGTTGTGATACTTGACACTCTTGTATGTATGTGTCGAGTTGAACTGCTCACATAATAATTCCCTAAATGATATTTTGATATTTGCTACAGCCAGTCAGGCAGTAAACATGAACAGATCATGCGCCAGCAGGGGGACGAGGATTCATTCCCTTTCAGAGCTAGTACACAGGCCTGCTGTTTCCGACGTGCTCTATTTGATGTGTGTGCTCAATTCAATAAAGCCTTTATCTTTAAAACCAGGTGGTGGCTGGCTCTCCTTCTTTCCAGCAGTGTCCAGGGGTTCTCACTGGGGGCCACACAGTTCATATTGCCTTGTTTGTGCAAGTCGGTCCTATTTTGTGCCTGTCCAGAATAATATAAATATACAAGTGTGTTTATTTGCCGGGCTTGTTCTGCCTAAAGGAATAGATATAGGGCCACTTTAATCTGTGTATTGCAGTGGAAGGGCTCAGGTGGCGTTACAAAAGAGCTGAGTGGTACTTGGATCTCTGTATAGTATCTTTACTATTCTCTGGGCTGTTCGCTTTTAGCTGATGCTGCAACACTCCAAAAGGAAGGACACTGCAGTCTAGCCTGCATAGGAGTTTTTCTATATGGCGCAATATCAAAGGATTAAGGGGAAATGAATCTGAGAAGTAATGCAATCATTTAAATACCACCGGTGCTCCCCTACCATCCCACTTAGCATTTATCCTAGCACAACCCACAGAGCCATGCAGATGTACTATCCAACAAAAGAGGATTTAGACTCAAAGGAAGGAAAACTGCATTATGACTTTAAAATTAATCAAAGCAAAGAATCTCATTGGGATTAGGAGCAGGGATCAGAGTGATATTAATGCCACTGCTGTGCGGCTCTGATTGTTGACGGTCTGCCCAGCTGCCCTCTGTGTGATGGGGCAGAGGACACTAACATGATGAGGCTCCCTACATGATGTCTGCACTCAAAATGCTTACCATTATAACATTTACATATTATCTTTTGTGTTGAAAATAAACCATTTATTTTTATTTTAAGTGGTCAAACCACGCTGAGCAAGATCTGAATGGTTGCCATGATCAATCCTCTCGATAAGGGATTAGGTTACATGTCAGCTGCCAAGATCAAGGGCAACTCTTATCCTCAAGGAATTACACTGGCCGAGTTACAAGAGCCCTTTAGCTCAAAGAGTACTTCCCTGCGCATCAATTTAAGACGACAAACTGCTGTAAATTCAAACTGATTTAAGACGAGTGTTTACCTAATCTCATTGGAAGCATTTGAGCATGCCATAGAAGTGAGTAATAATACAGTACTATGGAGCATGGGCCCTTGTAAAAATAAACTGCTAATCCGCATCTCCCCAAGAAGGAAAGATTACCAATCTGCTGCTTTCTAATTGTCAAGCAGCAAAACAACAACACAAGCTCCATTTACTGTTCTCCAGGGTTATAATGTTGACAGACACCAGACTGCAAATGACAACAGCGTTACTGCAGTCCTTCAGTAGCATGTTAGCATTGATTGACACTTCTAGCACACAGAGCCAGCCAGCCTCTGAGTGCCAGAGATGTGGGATGTTGTCCCAGTCCACAGATGGCCAAATCAAGTTGCTTTGGTCACAGATGTTGTGATCCAAGGCATCCATTGGAGACGTTACGGCACCAGCAGGGATCTGACCCAGGGTTAAATATAGCTGCTTTACAAAGGTGACCTGACTAGGCAATGTTCCAGCTGGACCTCCATAGGTACAACCTTTACTGAACAAGCTTTACGCCAGGACAAAAGCTTGAAACTTAATCTTTTTCAAATCACACAGCTAACAACTTTACTGATTACAGATAGCTCACCTCTAAAAGTCCTAGTGATTGCATTAACAATATGGGCTGAGATGGGCTGAGAAGGAAGTATGCCAGTTTTGCACAATAATTAAAATTCTGTCTGTATCCCGACATGACAAACACAGTGCAGACAGAGAGAGAGAGACACACACACACACACACACACACACACACACACACACACACACACACACACACACACACACACACACACACACCAGAAGAGTGAGGATGAGAGGAGACGCTGACACACTGCCGCTTCACCAAAAGATACCATCTGGAGATGCTCTTGGAGCCAGTGACTCGTGCAGGCACACACTTATTGTACACACATACCAACTAACATCACAGCTCTCACACAAGGCAGAAACTCACATTGTGACTGAATTTGTTACTTTACTTTAACTAAAACTCAAACAAGGTTCAGTAGCTTGATTAAGATCCAAGGGACATTGTGTGGTTTAGCAGAAGCCCTATTGTTGTTACTACCCTGTTGCAAAGATGACCTTGGATGCTGAAGGATCAAAGATAATTTCCTGGTCTACATTAGATCCTGGACACAATCTGTAGGTGTGTGTGTGTGTGTGTGTGTGTGTGTGTGTGTGTGTGTGTGTGTGTGTGTGTGTGTGTGTGTGTGTGTGTGTGTGTGTGTGTGTGTGTGTGTGTGTGTGTGTGTGTGTGTGTGTGTGTGTGTGTGTGTGTGTGTGTGTGTGTGTGTGTGTGTGTGTAAAATCAATGAAAATCTGAAATGTACAGCTCTGAAAGCAAACACGATTGCTGCCCAAACAACTCTTTTCTTTCATCTATTAAGCGTCTTTGAGTTGTGAAAAGCGCTATATAAATAAAATGCATTATTATTATTATTATTTAAGAAAAAAACCTTTCCACTTTTTCAGATATGAAACATAAGAAAAAAACATTTCAGGTGAATTTTAGTATTGGTTATGCAAATCTTCGCTTCATAAAGCTTCTATTATTATTTTACCAAAACAATAGTTAGTTGGTCATTTACAGAAATATTATGAAATTAAAATAATACAAGAAGCATAGTTGTATACACAAGCCCCATGGCACTACAGGCTGGGAGATAATCTATCATAATGTCTACATCAGAGGAGGGACAGGGGAGCTCTGATGCTGGGGAAGCCCTGAAGGGGAGGTGGGGGGGCTCTGGCTGCTGCGATGCGTTTAAGTTAATGGCGTGTGTGATGACGATGGGCCTGGTGGGTTTAATGGGACAGAGGCCCAGCATGGGAGGGGCCCCGGCATTATTATTCTCTACCTTCAGACTAAATGATGTGTTGTGTTGCACTATTTTAGGAGATCAAAGGTTATGGGTAAGCACACAAAGTGAGAAGTGAAAGACATGTGCCCGTCCCACACAGAGGAGATGGTGGCATCAGCACAAACTGTTGTGTGCAATCTAAGTGGCTTTTTGTGATGGTGTGTTATGATAAATTGTTATTCATTCTCATCCCTCTAGTGAGAGCCCATTCCATTAAAGGTCTAATGTAAAAGCGACCCGTTGTGCTCTCAGAAAACACTTAACGCACACTGCAAATGGCACAATAACGCAGAACCAGGAAAAGGACCAAAATTAGGACAACAGCGTAAAGTAAATAATATTTCTCCACCTTCTTTAGCCTCTCCCTATTGATTCCTCTTTCCATCTCTCTATTTGTCCCTTGATGCACATCAATATATTCTCTCATCTCCATGGCTCCCCTGAGCCCTGGGCTGAGCGATGCATGCTGGGATCTTGGCAGAGGCCAGGAGGCTAATTAGATATTAGTGTGCGTTTAACTCCCACTGAGTTCACTTCCTTTTCTTCACCTTTTTAATTCCTCTCCTGACTGCATTCTGGTGCACTGCTGGTTATTTAACCCCTAACAACCTCTTAAGGTGGGCTCAAAGAGGTCACTATGGTCTAAATTAATCAGCCGTTATTAATTTAAGGGTGTGCTTCCTTCACCTGGGAGCGTACATTTGTCACTATGGAGATTTCCACAGTGACAGGCTTTTTTGGCCCAGTTATCCCTGATAATAGATAGAGAGCCTTGACAGCCTATTGGATTAGCCCCTTGTGGTTGGCTTTAATGAAGATTACACACCCCTGTGGTTAACGGATATTAGGAGAGGAAAGAGGCGTGTGGTGAAGCTTGGCACTGACACAGGGCAATAACAGGGCAATTCTGTGTGAAATGTGCCAACTTGTACTGTATGTGTACTGAAAGGACAGGAATGTAGCCAAGGCACCACACTGGTGTCAAATACAGAAATAATGTTGTCTGTCAAAGATCAAAGTACCTGCCTCACGGTTTTTTAAGCAGCCAGGAGCCACTAAGTCCTTGTGTGTGTGCAGGTTTCTGTGTTTGCAGATATGTGCAGATACAGATGCTAAAACTGCTTTACTCACCAGTTGCTCTTCCATGTGTGTCGGACATGCGGGTCGTGGATGCTGTGTTTGTCGGCCTGCTCGTCCAGGAAGTCAAACATGTATTTGATGGCCAGTGGGAGGGCGCTGCCCCGATGGGCCGTGCTGAAGATGGTCTCGAACAGGTCGTCCACAAACTTCTGTAACGTACCCTACAGAGGAGAGAGGAAAAAAGGATTATACAGAGGCAGGTATTTTTTCATTAAATGATATTACAGGTGATGATCATAGAGCCGATACCCAGTACATTAACGTTTTCAAATGTGTTTTGCTAAACTTTTAGAGCATTTGTCCTCCACTTTAGTTTCCATGACTACACAGGAAGTAATAACGAAACCAATAATAGAGACCTTTAAAGAATACGAAAACGTACAATGCTATAAACAGCTACATCGTACAATTTCAGTTTGGTTAAGCCAGTATCTTTATTGAACTGTAGTGAGATTGTCACTGTAATACATTTTGCAACATACAAACGCCTAAAGGTGATGGATTAATGGGTTTAAACGTGTATATTTTCCCTGAGTGAGTTGATGTCACTTTGTCCACAAGCTTGATGTTGATGTGTCTGACTCCTATCTCACAGACCTGGCCCCTAAATCTGCTTGCAGCTTTGATGAGGGAAATTGTTATTTCACAGCTGACTTTTAATAATATCTGGGAACAGGAGGCGCATCTCCTAAGCCTCTTTGTGCTGCCGGATTAGCTCCCACACTGCACCATTGACCCTAATTTGATTTAATGTTGGTGACTTTAAAGAGGAGGAGAGGAAGACAGAGAGTGGGGGAATCTAATCCTCTTGTAAAGAATGGGCTGATGGGATGCACAGGAAAAGGCGAGAGCGAGGGGTGGAAATTAAACGATAGAGGTTTCCTATCAGGAAAAGAGGCCATTGAGTGTGGCAGATGAGGTGTGTACAGGCACTGGCAAATAAAAATCCAATTTGGGTCGGAGCGGGTGACCCAATCAGGGAGTCAAGAGAGGTAGAAGGGAGTGGGAAGAGAGAATCCCGTTAGTACGACAATCAGGCTATAATTCTAATGTGGCCCACATTCCCGACAGCTTATCGCTTTTCTATAGATATGGAATTACATATCTCTATATCAAGCCCACGTGCATTCCAAGTGACAGTCTGCATTAGCTGGTGAGGGAAGACCTAAGATCTGTGTGTGAAGATACCAACACCTGTGTGTGTGCCTACAAGTGCTGCGGCTCTGACATTTTACGTCCTCTATGTTGAGGGGGCTGTCATCATCACAGGGATCTCTTGTTCCCTGGTGAAGCTAGACTGCCAACACACCCCCCCACAAACATCTACCCTGTCATTAGACCAAACTTTAAACACAATGTGTCATCTGGATGTTTTGATGCCATCAGCCTCCACATTGAAATGAGAGGCAAACAATCAGAAGACTGGGAGATAGATGGATGAAGAAGGGTACACATGAGAGAGAGGTGGACACACACACACGCACGCACGCACGCACGCACGCACGCACGCACGCACGCACACACACACACACACACACACACACACACACACACACACACACACACACACACACACACAAGTGTGGAAAGAAAATGCAATCCTTCCTAGTGCCCCTCCAAACACACGAGCGTGCCCTGTACCCACACTCAGTCAGAGTGACACTGATGGAGCTAATATGAGAGACGTCAGCGGCGTTGCCAGGGAGAGGTATTTATTGGCAAGGTGAAAGCCAAACGCAGTCAATTACACTGCCTGTCTGCCCAATCATTCCTCACCAAGAGAGATGGCCGGCCAAGATAAACTGGTTATTTCACAGAAACAATCCATCTGGAAAGATGATGTGCTGTCTGCCGTCAGAAAGCACCTTCCTGCTCTCTGGAATGGGATAATGGTAGGGAAGTAGAACGGCTCACAGAGGCTGAGAAGGGATGTGCTCCATGTATGTGGAGGGATATACAGTGTGCGTCATGGCGACAGCTGCTCCTACCTCAATTTTGTTTGTTTGTTTATTTATTTCACATGTTGCTTATCATGTCAGTGCCATGCCTCTCTCCCTGTTGTTGTCTCCGTTATCGGCTTTAATTGATCACCTGATTTTACTAATCTGCCCACACATCTGCAGTCATTAGTTCTCCATAGTACAAACAGAAGGAAGTGTTTAGCTGTCACATTGTCTGTTTTGCCTGTGATGTCTGCGTTATTTTAAAGAAAGATAGAACTGACAAATATTTTTGCTTAGACTTTAAAGGTAAAGTCATAGAAAATCAAATCTCTCTCACTGCAGTATATTCAGGTTTTTTTACAACACAATCTTATGCCTACACAAGGATTTTGCATTAAGTATTATGTTTTGATTGTGGCCACGGTGGCAGCTGTTACATCTTAGTTGTCTAAAGAGAGACTAAGTAAGTGAAATAAACTAAGTAATCTACTCTGGTCTCATATTATCTGAAGGTAATGATTTAAAAACATATTGGACTTGCTGCCCAACTTCTAAGGGTTGCTTATGAACCCATATGAAAATTTGTTTTATGAGGTCTGCTTATCAGTGCAAGATATTCAAAAATACATGTTTTTATTCACTTCATTCTTCTTTCTATTCCCAGTACTGAGATCTCCATGTGAACTGCTAAAGAAAGGCGGGGATCAAAAACAAACATAAATGTTCCTGAATCCAAAAATTACAGACTCAACATTTTCATATAGAAGGCTATCTTTTTATTTTACCCTCCATGTACGCCTCTGTTTTTGTCTGAAAGAAGGGATGAGGGAGAAGGTGACTTAGGAGTGGACTGGACATTTGTATTCAGCTGCTGGATCAAAGTCACATTTCCCTCCAAACCAAATTACCTGCTTTTTTCTGAAGGCCATTGTCGGAAGGCACATTCAATAAAGACTCATTTTATAGGCATTTCTATTTTTGCCTCATCCTTTTTTTTATTACAGAAATTCCTTCTCTAGCTTCATGAATCTTTTCTTCTTCACCCTTTTTGATATGCTACGGTATCAACGCAACAGCAAGGAAAAGAGAAAACAAACAGAAATATCTATTTTCTCTTTCTCACCTGAGGGGATAGATGAATACATTTGAATAATCGTTCCCACTGAGATGACTCATCCAAAGTAAATATTAATATATAAATAAAGTGAGTCACGGTTTCAAAAGGAGAAGGTTATAGTGACCTTTTAGCCTTTCACCTGGTGAACTGATTAGAGAAAACATGAATTTAAATGACACTCCCTGCTGTATATAACAGATTCTTATAAATAGTGACTGTAGCATGTTCTGAACATCGATAGCTCACCTTAGTCGCCAGAAGTCGTGTCAGGTAGATTTCAGAGACCATCTTGCTGCCGCGGTCGCCCTCCTTCTGGTCTCCGTGCTCATGGTTCTTCACCAGGTGCCAAACTTTGACCCCGCTCTCCAGGTCAGGAGTGATCATAGGAGTACGGGAGCGCAGGCTGTCGGGGCTTCCAGTGTACTTGATCATGTTCTCTGTGGAGAAAAACATGCATTAGTTCATGTGGAACTGTTTTAACAGAAAACCAAAAGTAAACATTGTTTTCTTCAGGCACGCTTCCATTGGCATTGGCATTTTATATACATCTATTGATATGTACGAAAAAAAGGATTTTGCTGGGTTGTCCCTGCCTGTGTCAGAAAGTATAGAATAGAATAGAGAAGAAAGCTGACGAAAAATTTGACTAAGGCACTACAAAACATAGAAACAAATACAAATGGAAAAGCTACTAAAAATACTAATCTGTCGCTTCACTAAAGAGGCAAGAAAAGCTTTGACCTGCCTGTCAGCAACCCTTTTTTGACTTCAGGCTTTCAATTTACAGGTTGGGGAGATTGGATATGAAACTTTCAGAAAGTGTGCATGGTTAATTTTTCATTGCTTCTTCTCCTAGGCATGGCATCTGTGGCTGACACAAAATCGAACAGGTGTCAGAAGAGATGAAATATGTATGGCCCACCCAATGGCCGGAGTAGCGATGACATTTCCAAACACATGGCTCAATGAATGTTTACACAGTGTGAAAAAAAATTGATCAGTGGGTGCGGTTCAGAGAGAAGAGTAAAAAATGTTTTTTCACAGTGACAGAAATCAATTTGTCCAGAGAGAAGGCGGTAGGAGTGAACGGTGGAGAGTGTTCAGGGAAAAAGAGACAGCTGGAGACATCGGATACTGTGTGTGTGTTTGTGGGAGTGTGTGTCTACTGATCAAATGTAATTACATTACAATTAGTCTCTCCTAGGGGGCGTTTCAGGGGGCCATATTTAACTGTAGATGTGTTATAAGACCTGTGTCAAGTATTCTCTGCAATACTTAAATTGGGTGTAACAAGATGTTAGTGTGGTCTTTATAGAAAAGTGGAGTGGGTAGTACTTTCATTTTGTGTTAATGATTTATTCAAGAAGTTGGGAAGCTGAGGGTGAGGCAGAGTGAGGAGAAAGATTCTATTCTGATCCTCACAAAGGACGAGTTATTTTTCTCTGTGGTTTTCTAATGGAAACATGACGTCAAAGACACAAAGTTTCTCCTTTCACTCTCTGACTCAACATGTCACAATGTGTTTGTCTTAATCTCCACATCTTTCTCTCCAGCTCCACTCTCCCTCCCCCCGTCTGTAGCTATATTAAAGTATCTTTCTCCACTACCTGGCCATTGTGCTCACGGAGAGTTCAAAGTCACTCTCAAGTGTGACACTAGTTGTAAAGTGGATCACACTTGCTTTTGAAGTCAATCCCTTAAAAAAGAGTATTGGAGGGAGGGGTTTCTGGTCTCCTCCCTCCCTTTCCGTGTCTCCTCTCACCTTGTCCTATCTGCTCTAATTTGGATCCGGAGAGGCGAGGTGAGGCCGTATGGAGATGAGGCGATGCTAATAATGTGGCTCCACATTTGATGTGTCTGAAGTGTTTGTGGCCGGTGAGGCTGGCCCTTTGATCAGAAACTAACTTGATGGTTTCTCAGGTTCAAGGAGATGCTGAGCAGACGGACACACTGGCACACAGAGTGATGAGAGGACACACTTTAGAGTCTCAAGAGGCCGGGACAATAGATGAGAAGTCTGTTTGGTGTCTTGTTATGTTTTAGGATTACTTTCAACTACTCGGAAATGGTGTCTTATCTTTTTAGGTCTGTCATTGATGTCATGCAGGGTGCCGTGGATGTGGACGTCTCTGATTTATTTGACCTAAAGTATTCCTCCGATTTTATTGAGTGTGTTTTTTAAATGATCATACATGTAGTGTGTACCATGGTGCCTGAAGCAGCTCTCTGACTACAGAAACTTGAAGGTGTACTGAAGCAGGTCGACTTACCATATTTACTTGCAGAAGTTCGAGACACAGTGGAGTTGTTGACTGAATTGTAAGCTGTAACTTGCTTTGGAACCAAAGCCATCACTGCATTATCAGGTACCTGGAAAACAGATACACACACGTATTATGCAAATGACTGTTCAAAACAAAAGCCATTTTCAGAGTGTTTTCTCATTTGTGAAGATTTCTAACATAACCAATCAGAAAACCCATAGATCACTGTGTTGGTGTCATTTTCTATATTTCTCTCCATCTATTCTGGTTTCATGTGGATACACAGAGAATATCTGATTAACCTTATGTGCTCTGTTTAGCCCACACCTGCATATAATAATAATAATAAATTATATTTATATAGCGCTTTTCTGTAATTCAAAGACGCTTTCATATGATGAGTGACAGGAGGAGGGAGGGTTTAGCAGAGCCTGTGTGAGAGGGGATATCCCACAGTCTCTATTCAATAATGCTGTTCCTCTAGGGGTAGGTAGTGTGTGTGTGTGTGTGTGTGTGTGTGTGTGTGTGTGTGTGTGTGTGTGTGTGTGTGTGTGTGTGTGTGAGAGAAGAGTAAATTAGTGTGTGTCAGTGCTGGTCCATGTGTGTAAATGAATGAATGAGTCAATCGTGCGCTCCTCCTTCCCGAGTCAGCCAAATAGGTTTCAATTAACACAACTGGGTATACTCTGTCCCAGCTGTGCCCAAACACACACATGAACACACGTACACACACTGAAACACACACTAACCCCTATTCTGCATAATCTGGCTACCCGTGCTGCAGGGAAAGGCAGGGTTAATTGAAGTGATCTCTATCCTAGAGTAGGAGGATGGGACAAGATATGAGGGCCAGGGGCCTTTGTGCTTATAGGTGTGTGTGTGTGTGTGTTTGTGTGTGTGTGTGTGTGTGTGTGTCTGAGCCTTTTGAAGATTATATCATTATGTCATCCAGTCACTCAATCTGCTCCTTATGCATATTATGTCTATATTATTGTAAGCAGGGGGCCCACAGGGCTGATCTTGTTATTCCTTTATGGGCCCCCCCAACTCTCCAACCCCCTTAAGCATGCTCCCTGATCACTGCCCTTATATGCTGAATGGATAAAAAGACGAGTAAATCACAATGGAACAGAATGAAAACAGGAGGAGTGGTTTTGGAGGAGAGGATAAAGACAGAAAGAGGAACGCGGTTTCCTGAAAGAGAAATGTATGTGATTATGGGATGGAAAGATCTGATATAGCAAATGTCAAATGTTTGATTTTAGGCTACTCTGTGATGTTTTTCTGAACAAAAACAACGTTTGTGATGCAAACTGTCACATTGTAACTGAAAGCAGGGTGAATTAGGATAGGCTAGTGGCAGATCAAACCAGATTAATTTGATAAAGGAAAGCGCATGATTCTATTGAGTGTGTCTGGTTGGTTGTATTAGCTTCTAATAAGAAAAACACCATACAGTAAGACCAAATATAAGAGCACACCCGGATTGGCCAAGGCAGCATCTATCAATAGAGTGCATCAATTTATTTAGATGAAAAGAGAGACAAGACCTTCAAATACAATGGTTCATAAATGAAATACAGCTATAATAACAAGAGTGGAAATGCTATATATGAAATCTGAGCTGCCCTTTACCAAAGTTAGAGTGTGTTTGTGTTGTCCTCTGCCTTCGATGCTCTTTGCGTAGCCTCCTGACAATATTTGAATGGATCATTTTGCTGTGTCAAGGATAAGGAGCCCTCATTCCCTGGCCTGAAAAAATGAATTAACTTCTGTCTTCATTATCTTATCTCAGATTGGAATCAGCTCCCTAATCCATTCCACCCGCGCCTCGTACTCCAAACCTGTTGACACTTGCTGATGCTGGCATTTAATTTAGGCACCACGCAAACTGCTCTTGTAGGGGACAGTGGCTGCTCACATAGCTGCTCGGAATATTAACACTATGGTGAAAAAGACGGAATGTTTTACCATCCAGTCTCATCCTGGCTGCCCGGATAGACAGTGGCTGCTCATACTGTATGGGACAAAACACCTTCAGATATACGTTTATCACCGTCTGCATTAAAGCCTTTGAGTATTTAATGAGTGAAAGTCTTTGTATTTTGTGCACAATGTCTTTATATCAATCCCTGACAATAAATGTGTAAACCTTGTGTCTGTGACCACTGATGAGTCTATTCTGTACATGACATTTTTTGCCGAAACTTATCCATTTGAGAAATAAGACGCCACTTGGCCGGCACATCAGATGCTATCTGGAGCCCTCTCCACACATAAGGGATTACTTCCAGGTGTCACTGTTGTTGGTCACTTTCTGCGTGTGTGTGTGTGTGTGTGTGTGTGTGTGTGTGTGTGTGTGTGTGTGTGTGTGTGTGTGTGTGTGTGTGTGTGTGTGAGTGTGTGAGTGTGTGTGTGTGTGTGTGTGTGTGTGTGTGTGTGTGTGTCAACTGAGGACTTGCACAACTAAATGGCTGGAAAAGTACTATGAGGTATTGTCCATTAGACGGTGTTGGAGCTTAGTGCAGACGGAGTTCACACAGCTTTAGAGGGAGAGGTGGAGTGGAGAGGACATCAGAGAGAGCTTAATGTACTATTGATAAAGGGATGACTGGTGGTAGGAAAGAAATGCAAAACTTAAAAATGTAAATCATTACTTTGCTTTCCATTATAAAAGCAAAGTATACAAACCAGCCAGGCTTTGGCAGATAGCAACCAGCTTTTTATTTAACAATCTCTTCTTTGTCTGTGAACTCTAAAACTTTACAAACACTTTCTATTTATAAAACTTTTAAAGACCGTTTGCTATGGTAATGATCGTGTAACAAGCAATGGGTCCAACCCCATGGACCCAAAGTAAACATACTTTGACTCTAGTTCTTAAACAGTTAGAATGTTGAGGCGTTATTTGGGGGTAATATGAAGAGTTTAAAGCAGGTTGCAGTCGTCAGTATTTTAGAATCTCTAGTCAAAGCGTACCTGGTAATGGAACAGCATGTTCAGCCTCTTCCAGTCACCTTCGATCTTAGTGGTGACGTCTTCATCCTGCAGGATCACACGCTGTCCACGACCCTGACGCCATTCTGCAATTGCAAAGGGGGAAAGAAAAACGTATTAACAACTATATTCACATAATGCTACTCCTTTAAAAATATTTACATTAAAATCTGTCTTGTCCAGTACATGTATGATGCCCTACAATCTAGCTGATATGGCTTTGGCACAAGTAACAATGCACCCATCAGTCTTTCTTAAACAGTCTGCCAGTTACCATTCCCTTTATCTACATGTTCCGAAGTTTTAATTAGTATCTTTCATTGTCATGCAAAGCATGAATAGGATCAAAAAAGGTTACAAAAAAGAAACCTTAAGAGTAGAAACAGAAGAAAAAAAGAGGACCCAAACAGATATGCCACAGGTTAGAGACGGTAACAAGAGGCTAGTTAAATTAATCACCCTTTCAATCTCTTTTCTGCTGCGATCGATGGCTCTGATTACAGCTGCATGCCCCTGGCTTGTTCAAATCTTTTTCCATCTTCGACACCGGCCCTTATGCTCAGCTCTCTGAAGGTGCTATTTGTCCCTGCTCTCCCCTTTTCAAACCAACATCCACAGCTCTAAGCCCCCTGCCATGCTGCTCTTATTGTCAGGGTCTTTGTTAAAAGCACACCAGGCTGATATCCATGAGAACGGTCCATGGAGAAACTACAAAGATGCCAGCATAAAGCTACAGCAGATCATTTCCATGGTTTCCAGCTTCCAGCACATAACAGTATCTTTGATATAAACAACAGGCTGACATTTAACTGACCTTACAACACAATTACAATTACATCTACATGACATACACTCCGGGCTTCCCCCACATCTTTGCAACTTTCGTACAAAACAAAAGCTTTAGAAGAAACAGCTCGCAACATTATCATACGTAAAAAGGGGAAGTCATATCAAAAACAAACAAGCAGATGATTCCTCTATTGTTTTCACAGACATTCTGGGCTGTATGAATACATTTTCATGTGTGTGCTCCTGCTGTGTTTCCCTCTTGCGTCGGCCACTGTCATCTCCTATTCTGTTCACAAACAGCAAAACAAAGCGGCAATCACTGTGGCGCATGATGAGGCCTGTCTTTGGAGGATCGATCTGAATTGTGTGAGCTTCTGAAAGAATTGGCAGGAAATAAAGATTCTCCTGGTGTTTTTGTCTATACAGTAGATCTTCCCATACAGATGCAAATGAGCGCCTGTCTCCAGTCGAGCTTCAGCAAACACATGAAAATGAGAAAAAATAAATAAATATCCTTGGTGTGAAACCAGAGCAAGCTGAATTTACTTGGAATCCCAAATCTGGTGGTTGCTCAGTAGAAAGATTGTGTGTGTGTGTGTGTGTGTGTGTGTGTGTGTGTGTGTGTGTGTGTGTGTGTGTGTGTGTGTGTGTGTGTGTGTGTGTGGGGACTTGTATTTTGACTCACACTCAGAGAGATAAGGACTTTGGGGAGTGGATGGAAGCTTATGAAGAGAAAGGCTGAAGGTGACTGTTGTACTCCATGGAGATGTGATACACACTTTTGCTCCGGGTAACACTCACACAATGACACAAAGACACACACACTCATACACACAGGATCTAGCCTCTTTGTCCTCAGGCCGCATCTCCTCTGAAGGATTGCAACAGAGGGGATTCAGAAACAATATCTGGGATAACAACACTGCTCGCCGATCCGTCTAGGGACAGGCCTGCCACAGTTTCATTATCATTCATTGCAATCAGAGAGTGTGTGTTTGTTTAAGAGTGTGTCAGAGATAATGACAGCCACCGATTACCTGTAGAATGTGCCTAGAGCAACTTCAAGGTTAAAAAGTGTGTCAAAAATAAAAGATCAATCAAATGGAAGACCTGTTTCCATTGTAAATTGCACAAAACCAAGGAATGATAATCACAACGCATGACACACAAATTAAAATCAACCCTACATGCGTGAAAAGATATGTCACGTGTATTCTTGTTGACTAATGTTTAGCAGAACTTTTGGAGACAAAGGATATAGACCAGGAAGCTGCATTTACTCTCTCCCTCCGTTTCTTACATACAAAGCAACTGGCCAGCTATCTGTGACAATTTCCAATTCCCTCTCGTAATCAAACATAATAGAACAACACGTCGAGCCCAAAGGGGGCCATAAAACAATTTTATCCAGGAGTGTCGTCAAAAGGCTAAACCAATCTCTTCACTTAGCTATCACCCAGACAGATTCCCCAAGGTAAGCAGAGCCCATCTTGGATCTAGAGTTGGTTATAAATATGCTATTGCCAACACACCACAAGGGCCTGGAAAATCCTTCCGGCAATATTAAACCATAAAGAAGCACAGTGCGTGGTACAGAGAGACAGACTGTAGATATTGGCAGACAAACAATCATGGTTAACGTTGTTATGCTCCAAAGGTGTACCAAACCCCCTGATCATGAGTTTTGCAGAGAAGGTATATTGCCCTCTTTCATTAGATAGACCCCTAAAGTAATTTGCAAATATATACGACCGGATAACATTCTGACCTTGTGGAAATAAGTGCATACTGTAGCTGCCAAAAGGGATCATAAAAGACACCAAAAGCCTGCATTTGAACAATCAAGCCCTGCTTACTATCTTACTCAGAAAGAAAGAGAAAAAGAAAGAAAGGACACTAGAAAATGATTTTTGTAGGAAAGAGATCACAGAGCGTCTCGATTGATTAGCTGATCAATCATCTGACTCAGACTCTAGTCGAGAAGAGAGTGGATCGATGGGAAGTTTGGGCAGGGGAGAGTCCACTCTCAGACATCTGAGCCAACCCAGCCAGGATGTCAAGTCTCCAAGGGTCTTAAAGAAATCTACTTCTCTATATCTAAGAAGACTTGTACATTTAAAGAGGGGTGGGGAATCCTTTGTAAAAAATCTATGTGTGTCTAAGTTCAGCCTGCTATTCTCCAGACACATAAATAGGAAGCGCTGCATGGTTAGAAATGTTTTGACAAGCTGAACAGTAACTGAAAGCTTCAGCGAGACTACAATGGTGAACAGAAGAATAAAAAAGATCCCATTATACACATAAATACATAAAGGAATGCAAAACTCTCCAACGGGACATGTTTTGATTGCATTCGGAGCACTTTATCTTTCCAGTCGTTTGATGTTGCTGTTAATTTCCCTACAGGTGCTAGTATTATCTATGGTGTTCTTATGTGTCGAGTTTTATTTTATCCATTTGTTTTTAGGATTTTATGATTATTTTACGGATGTGGATATTACCTATTACCTCTCGTTTTTATACTTTTGTTTAATATATGATGTGCTTTATGAGTGAGCGGTGTTATTGTCTTTCTCGATCTTTAAGTGACTTAATTAAACAAATTCCAATCCAACATGTCATGGCAAAGTATTGAGTCTGAGGCTGCAATCACAAATTGATGGAAGGACTGCCATGATAATTGTCATTATCCTTATTCAGCATTGTAAATAAACAGTTCCACTACTAAATACATCACATATGACTATTTGCCTGCTTTTTTCCGCATTATTTATATATATCAAGACAAGGATTAATACCCAGGTCCATGTCGGAGGCTTTCAGGCGGTGGGAGTGTGGGACGTTCTTGTAGATGGCGTCCAGGATCTTCTCCTTCACCTGGCTGATGGTGTCACAGTTCAGCGCCTTCACCTGGATCTCTGGGCTTTTCTCATTCTCTGGATGGATGCAGTTCAACACCTGTAGCACAAATACACATTATTATTCCCAGGTATCTAAAGGTAGGAATTCTGGCAATATTGGTAACTGCAGCAGTCCATGTTTCTGAGATGATTCAGAGCAAAGGATATATTGTGCTTTACATAATGTATGTGTAATCTTCGTAGAGAAAATGTGTGTGTGTATGTGTTAACCTTGTTGATAGCATTGGATTTGTACTCAATGGAATTGAAATCATTCTGTGCTCGCCAAAGGGCCTTTGAGATAATTGCAGGGAAGAAAAAGATCATTCACCAGGGAAGCTGCTTTTTCATCAGAGCTTGAAGAGAGACAACAATGTGCTTCCTCAATTGATGAGCAGCAGTAAACCAGCTAATTATAATATTATTAGCATATTTATCAGTTCTGTCTCCAGGTGTGTGGAGAATTACCCAAAATACAAGAGGAGCACAAAAACACGTCATAAAAGAGAGGGTCAACGTGTAATCAAGGTTTTTTTCTATCACAGTTCTTGAAAGCTGTCAGGACTTTAACAGTGCTGAGTTGTCCCCATTCAAACAAACACATCAGATGACTGGAGAACAGAGAGGTTCCAGAAGGAGGATGCTTCATCATCTCTCTCCATATGTAGCCATTCAAACATGCATATTCCGAAATGATCTATTTCCCTTTGTCATTTCCAAGCCTTTCTCTTTTTCTTGACAGCTCTTGTACAGGAAGTGAGGCCGACGCTCCTGTGCCCTCTGCATGTCGAGCGTGACAACGACAACTTTATGCTGCATTGCTCATCTCATGACCGACAACCCATAACCACCCTGTTCCTCCCCTCTTCTCCCTGGAAGCATATTAAGTGTCCCCTTTCAGCCCCTGCACCCCGGGCCTGGTGAACCCCTTACCAGCGTCTTGTAGTCAATCTGTTGTCTGATGAGCTTGTCTTCGCTGAGCGAGTAGCGGGCTTCTCCTGTGATGGAGTCAATGGGGCCTTTCTCCATCTGCTGCTTGATGGCACAGAAGAGGGAGAAGAGAGGTTCGCCTGCACACTCCTGTGAAGACATCCGGAGAGAGAGGAAGAAAAAGTTAACAGGGAGGAAGAAAACTTTGAAGCCATTCTACACTTGGATGACAGCAAAGTTTAGTAATGAACAAATGTTGTATTTGTTTTTGTTATGTTTTTCGGGCTGACCAAACAACATCATAACACCCCTACATTAGAATACAATTTCACTCAAATGTGCCAACTTTTTTGGATGATTGAATGGGTAGCATAGAGTGAACATTGTTATAAAACATAGACTCTTGAAGCCTGAAAACAGTGTTGTTAATCAACCAGAAGAGACTGGCCATTTATCATTGTTTTTATTCTCCTCCCAGCTGCAGTAAAGCAACGAATAGAGAGAGGAAGGTTGAAGACAAATGGTCAATTGACTTTTTAGTGAATACTGTTGCTGTAGGGTATTACTTCTTAACGCCACATCCATATCATCATACAGTATATTCTAGCTGAAATTAACAGAATCGATATATTCATGTACCTAATTCTACCTAAAATACAGGTCTGATCGAAGTCATGAGAAGTATAATATTCTTACAATTAATTGCTATTGTATCCACAATCTGCAAATTTGGGAGTAAACAAAACCCTTGGCTCAATAGTGAAGCAAACATTGAAGATGTACCTTGAGAAACTTGTAGAGGAGGAACGTGAACCAGTTGGTCAGCATTTTCTCTGCAACGGACTCAGTCCTGCAAACAGAAAGACACAAAGCACATCATGAACTTATGATCCGCAACGCTGTTATTACCATCATAAATATTCAACAAAGTCATCAAATAATCTTCTAAAAATGATGACCGCTGTTAATGAATAGGCTTTCGTTACACAAATATAATTGCAAAGACATGGATTGAGTGAGCCTTTGCACATATGACGGCCTTTCAGCCAATCTCTCGGCTGGCTTTTATGTTCAGGCACGCCAAGGGCAGCTTGTCTATGGCGGCGGGATTTTAATATGAGGCAAAGCAATTAAAAGCCTTTATTTGATCCCGGTGGATTGATGTCGTTAGGGGCTGGATGGGCTCTGTAATAACACTGGCCTCATTATCAAGTGCTCCCTTGCCTATTCACTGGACCAACACTCGATCCGTGCACAATAGAAAGTGAATGAATACATCTCCCTTTCTTTCTCTGCCTGGCATCCATGCTCTACTGGTGTGGCAAAATGGTGTGTGTCTGCATTTGTGTGTATGTGTTGACCTGGGCCAACAGTGTGATTGATCCCGTGTGAATGACTAATCTGCATACATATTAACAACAGCGGTGGTTGCGAGGGGAGAAAGAGGAGAGGCAGGATCGGATATCCTTTGACAGCAACCTTCTTGACCAGCAGCAGGGGTGTGTGGGTAATCTGTCAGAACACCTCAGACACACACACACAACCCTCCCTCTGCTTTCAATGAGCAACAACCATAGGCATCAATATTTTAGGATTAGGATCCATTGTGTCCGTGTGTATGTGTGTGTGTTTTGGTTTTGTCCCGTGTTTCAGCTGCCACCTGCAGCCCTCCTGCCTTCCTCCATTCAGACAGCCTCTTTAAGGGGCTCCACACACTGAGACATGAGCGGGGGGGATATAATGTCCGCTGTGCCAGTGGGTTGGCTTGGAACCCCCTGCCATCATTGGCACAACACCTGGGGGGGATTAACTTCCTGTCTCTAACTGTGCCCGCACTTTTATTTAGCTGCCCCCCTCCCCTGCCCTTCCTCCGTCCGTAGATCCAAGGGTCAACAAGGTCACTTTTCATCTTTTCTTTCATGTGTCCTTGCTTTCTTCCGTGCTCCCTCTGGCTTCCTCCTGCAATCATACACACTTCCAAATCCTCTCCATTTCCACAAATGTAGCCCATCTATCAAAGGGATGAAAGGAGCATGGAGGAACGAGGAGGTGCACAGGAAAGGAGGGAGGGAGGGAGGGGGCAGTGGAACAGGAAAATTAGGAAACGAATGAGAAGAAATGGCTTGGTCGAGTCTGGCTTTTGCTTTTCTTCTTTTAAACTTGCCTTTCTCTATTCACTTCAAATAGATATTGTGTGCCTGTGTAAGTGGACAAGTGTGCCGCTGTTTTAAGGCGAGCGTGCAAAAAGCACAAATTAATCCCACTGCGGATGTATTCAGAAATGACCATGTGTGTCTGTTGTGTGTGTGCATGCTTCTGGCAGTGGGTGCTGGCCCTGCTGTAGTAAGAAGTCTTGGCACGGCCCCAGCAGTTTGCTTATGCTCACTCTCCATCAGAGCGCAGTGGGAATGAGGATAGAAATGGCACTGTGACGGAGCTGCTTTGGGATCTAACGTTAGCATTTAGTATTACACGTTTCAAACATTCTTCTCCAAATCTTTGCTAAGCTGCTACTCAAAACACAGCACAACCTGTGTTGGGGTTAATGCAATGAAATGTGCCGTGGCGTGTTGGCATGGTCAGGTGGGCTGTGTTGGCAGCCGGTCAGAGGGGCAGTGGGCGTGGAGAAGGATGTAGAGCAGAGGGGACCTGGCAGAGTGGACTTCCTCCTGATCACTGATGAAGGGGTGATGGGAATGTTTGCTCCATCACACATTGAACATTTGGGTTGGTCATAGCTCCAACCAGCTTTTCTTTCTGTGCAAATAGTACTTTCTGCAAACTCTCACTTCCTGGAGTGTAAATCTATAGCCGCATTCACACCGCAGGACTTTCCCTGGTACCTTGGTTCTTTAGTTCCGTTAGTACCAATAATGCCGCGTTCACACCGCCGGGACTACTCAGTGCCGGGAACTCTTTTGGCCATTTTCAGTCCCTGCTAGAGAGGTGGTACGAACCTGGTGATAAAAGAGTGCCAATTTCTATTCTATTTTTATTGGCTGGGCGAATTGCAAACCACGCCCCGTTAGACTCTGAATTTTTTTTGTTAGGCAGCCATTTTTTTCCTCGCTACAAAACCACATCCACACCTGAGCGAGTAGTTTTTTTGTACTTTAAAGCAGTTATGACCACACGTACTACAACACCGGAGCGGTGGAATGATGAGGAAGTGTCGGCGCTTCTGGCAATTTACTCTGAGGACGGGATGCAGCAGCTTCTACAGAAAGCAGTTCCCAACTCCAAATGTTTTGAGCGATGTTCGCAAAAGCTAATTGAGCGGCGTGATGTCGTTATTGTTATGTCTTGACTGTGCAATAAAACAAACAAACTGGCGAAGCTTTATTTATTGTGTCCCACCCCAAATTTGCAGAATAGAAGAATGTGAGAGCAGACAGGTGTCGGTGGTTTAATTTATCTACAATGTTGCAACCTTGTGCAGCAATGGCATGGGCAGAAACACAAGTTTTACATACATAAACACAAGTCATTTATCATGTCATTTGTTTTAGATAAATAAGGGGAAAACACCAAACAACGGTTAATGTCCTTTTCCATAATATGCCTGAGGGGGTAATATATAATAAATACATAAAGATAAAGTCCATTGTTATAATGGGGTATTTTATTTGTAAATGACCCTTATAACCCAGCCTCATGGTGCACATGATTCTTTGCTTGGACATTTTGTTGGTTTGAGTCATTTGAGCTCGGATTCTAGTAGGGACATAAAGTAACACGTATCTTAGGAAGATATGAACTTCATCTTGGTGAAGTTGATGCTGAATTCACTATTTAGTAGATAATCATGTGACACTTTATCTTTGCACTACGGTCTGTCTGCTGAGCCTACCTATTATATATATATATCATGTACAGCGGGTGGGCTTTATACCCCCTCCCCCGTGTAGTTATTCTTCTCTCTTTTTTTTTTGTACTCGCCGTGAAGTGGTTTTGCGGCCTGCCAGTAAACCCAGAGAAGAAGAAGACGAAGTGACGTCAGCGTAATCTTGCCTCAGGGAAAGTACTGCGGTGTGAATGCGATTGGCACTAGCCCCCTGGCGGATTGAGTGCCGTGGTACTTTAGTGCCGGCACTAAAGTACGGCAAGTCCTGCGGTGTTAAAGCGGCTTTTGAGGGTAGATGTAATCCTGCTCCTCTGCTCATTTAAGCGATTCAAATAGCCTCTCTTGTTTACTGATATCACTTTGGCTTAGCTGGGTTAACCGAACATGTAACTGCATCTGAGTCTCTCCTGGTTCAGTCATATGTGAAAACAGCGCAGTTTGAGATCAGAAATCATTTCCATGTTTCACTCTGCCTCCCTGTGAGGAAGATTGCTCATCCTGAGTGTCAAACAGTCTCACAGTGACGCCTAACTGCGGACCTGTTTTCAACAAAGATATCTTTAAAGTTAACAAGGTGCTTTTAACCCTGTGCTGGGATTTTGTGTCCGTGTTTAAGCCGAAGCAAAGCTGTGATCCACACAAGAACATATTGGGCTTTCATATTTTGACCAATATTAAAACTGGTATTCTGACACATTAACAGCAGCCAAAGTAAACTTAAGGCTTTGTAAAATGGTGTTTAACTCTGTACGACAGGAAGAAGGATGGTGTTGAGGGGAGGCGAGTGAGGGGGTGGAGGAATGGAGGGGAGACAGGCGTTTCAGGAGGAAAAGGCTGAGAGGAATGCGACAGATGGTTGGGGAAGGCTCTCGTTAGTTAGCTTGCCTGGTGGTTGTGCTTCAGCACAGGTTGAGATGGGACAGATGGAAGGATGTGTGTTTGTGTGTGGAGAGAGAGCAAAAAGACACACACATGCACACACGGAGATTTCTTGGAAGCGGAGGCAGTGGGTAGCCATGCTCAGATGCTGTGCCAGAGACACCCTGCTCACGCACTTTAAGCATTGATTTAGCAATCAAGAAAACAGGGGAGGGGAAAGAGGGGGGGGATATAGATTGAGCGAGCGAGTATAAGGGAGGAAGAGAGAGATAAAGAAAGTGACGGTGGCAAGTGGCACAAGCATCAGAACAAATAGAGGAGGAAGCAGAGGCAGTGTGAGGGAGAATAACACTCAATGTGAGCAAACATGGTGAAAGAGAGAAAGAGTGAGAGGGAAGAGGAAGAAAGGGGAAACTAACAAAACAAATTAAAGAGAGGAGAAGAGGGAATGGGTGCTATCTTTCCAGACAAGATTAAGCTCCATCTTCACAGCCTTATGCCGGACTATCTGGGCTATTTTCAGCCGCTATCCAAGGACACGTCAGTCGAGCTCTATAGGGTGGCATAGCTTGATCACACTGCCTCATCACAACTGAAATGCATGCTGGGATGTCGAAGGACTAACAAGCGCTTCTAAGAAGAAAGGACCAGATGAAGACAGTCTGATCAGTGCCAATCACAATGGTGTGGATGACAAATGGGCTATCAAACCGGCCGAGCGTTTGTTGTTAACATGGCTCTCTCTCCAGTGCTGCACTGTGATTGGCTTTCTCCCAGGTTTACTTCTCCCTTCCTGACAAGGACGGAAAGTGTCATAGAAGACAGTTTGTTTGACTCTGGTTCACATTTTAAGAACAACCATGCTAATATAGAAAGGTAAAGCTAATATGCACATTTTAACCAATGTGTGAATGTATCACAAGATGTATTGTCATCACAATATTGGAGAATGTTTTTGCACATGGCAGTTTCTCCTCTCACGGTTCAGACCTTGCACATTCAAAGCAATAGTGACATGTAAACTAAGTGATCAAAGAGCTCTCTACCTGCCTGCATGCCCCAGCAGTCAGCATGCCTTACTTGGTGACACAGCTTTAAGTGTCTCCATTGTCCTTGACTCCCTTTCCCTGGCTCTGCTGTGCCGCTGTCTCTCCTGCTGTATCTCCAGGATCAGCCGTTACTCCATTGTTTAGTGGCTGCACCAAACTTGGTGAGCTCTTGCTGCAATTAATTATGGCTCCTGTGCCCAGACAACATTAATCTCCCTCTGCATCACCAAGCATCGTCTAAACATGCTTTCATGAGATGAAATGCCCATGGTACGAGGATCAATTTCAGTCCTCTTCCAATAAATACACACACACATGCGACAAGCATATATCATAATATATGCTTGTCGCATGTGTGTGTGTATTTATTGGCAGGGATGAGTTTTTAGCCTGAGGGAAAATCAGAATTGTAATTGAAAAGAGACTAATTAATTTGGAAGGTGCCTGGCAAATCATCTGGGGGTGTCAAGACTTGCCGGTTGACCCCCGAGCAAAACAACATACAAGTCCATATGTATGAATAGGCATGCGTGCACATATTACACACGTACACATCAGCTGAAAGGCAGACGGTTTACTCAAGTAACCATAATCATCACATTTACTACACACTGCGGGCAGGCAGAAAATCCCTTACAATTCTGCGTTCAAGTGCGTGCCATTAAAGCTCTGACTACAAATCCAAGGGAGGAACATGACTGTGTTGAAGTGCAAGCTTTCACTGTTTTCCGCTTTTTTCAGAAGTGACTATTTCCCCCCCTCTTGAGCTATGTGAAACTCTATTCAGTGCTAATTAATCATAATTATTTTGCTAATGATGTGGCATAGCAATGCGCTCTGGTTTCTCTGAGACAGAGCAGGCAATTCAAGGTCACAGGAGTTAATCCAAACATGTCACAGTTAGGAACAGACACAAAGAGAGTAGCACATCCAGTCCTTGATATTAAAGTGTGTACATTAACCAGTACAAACGTTTATCCCTAGCCCCAACCAAGCACAAACCCTATGTTTACAGAAGTGGAATCTGTGTGGCAGGTGTTCAGTGTGTAAATATAAATCATAGGGAGAGAGTTATTTGGTTGAACTGTTCTTTCTTAATGAATCATCTGCATCTTCAAAGGTCACTACCAGCTGTATAACTTTAGCCACTTGTTAGAAGGGTATAAGAGGTAAGTTAAACTCGGCACATCTTTTCCGGCCTGGTTCTCACCTTCGTAGCAGCAGCTTGGGGTGGTTCTTGCTCTCAAGGTTGCGGTCTATAAGGTCAGACAGCAGGTGTTTGAGGACATCAGTGGCGTACTCCAACTTGCTCTGCAATACTGTCATGATAAGTGAGGCCACGTTGCCACGGTCCCTCATGGAGAAACCACGCTGGGCCTCCAGAGTGCGAATAAAACACAGCAGGAAGACCTTGTTGTTAATGAGCTGGCCGAACAGCTTCAGCCCCTTCTCCACTTGCTCCTGCCGGTAGCCTGGCACCTGTGAACACAGCAGACATGTTCATTTGACAGGGACACATTAAAAATAACAAGGAGTGGAACAAGTACAGAATCCATGTAACACATTCAAAGCCATGTCATATAAACCCAATCAGTCATCAGTTCCTGCATCCCTAGTCAAATACTTAAACATTGCTGAATAAACACAGTTTTATATAACATATAATCATGATAACTATATTTTGATCAGGTTCATATATGTGCTTTATTAACGCACGTGAAAATGTATTAGAAGTAATAATTGAATTCAGGTCTGGTTTCTCTAATTGAAAGTGCAGGTATCAGTTAATAAATCTGTCCTCATAAATAAGGAGGAAGAAAGGAGAAACAGAATGAGAGAAAGAAAAAAAAGCAACAAGGGAGATAAGGAGTTTAACATCTTGCAGCTTTTGTTGCATTTAGTGTGAAGGTTGAGAATAAAGGCAGGAAAACAATAGGTCTCTTGCGGGAATGCTTATTATGTCGATGGTGCCGTGTTCCACACTAATGTACGTTGAAAGGAAGAGGCAGTGATGTGAATTCCCCTCGTCTGAGCCCACAATGTCCCTGCTCCATTTATACTAGGCACTTCTTCTTTTCCCCGTAAATAGCACCCATTGAGATTACGTTTTTTTGTATCTGTCAAGAGCACTTGTGGTAAGACGGCATGTCTTTGTACCCAATGCAGCTGCCAACCAGCATATGTTCTGTCTTTTACCTTTCCTGGAGGAAACTCTTGTAATCAGCTGGGAGCTATTGTTAAGTGGCAAGTCTAATTTAATACGCCTGACAAGATGCATACAATGTGTGTGCTTCAAGTGTTGGCATTTTCCTTTTTTGCGTTTATACACTATGAGCTTGTGAATGAAAGCACACAATAAGGAAGTCTTGAAAATGTTATTGTGAATGTTTCGTGCTTTTTTTCTACATAATAAACTGTAAGTGTTTGCAGGTTATAGACCAAGCAAATGTATTATACTCTACCGTAGAACAAACATGTGTAACATTATGGATTATGGAGACGGTGCATGAAAGGAGCTACATGTCCTAACCTACACACAATCTTCACAGGGTCACTGGGATATTTGAGTTTGGCAGGCAGATAGAAGAAAAAAATATGGAAACCGCTGCTGAAATGGAATTGTTTCCGTAAAGATCAAGAGGGAAATGGGGAAACAATCATACGAAGCAGCAGGCAAAATGAGATTTAGAGGTATAGTCAAGTTGTTAGGAAAATAAATTGTAGAGGCAAGGAAGTAATTTTGACTCCTAAGAACCAACCTCAACAGTGACCAGGAATACATATAATGTGAAAGGGTAGGCTTTACAGAGCTCACACATGCCAGACTATATTTTTACATTTTTCCTTATTTTAACTGACTGTGAAAATCCAGTTTTTATGTAAACCTTGAAAGAGTTTTATCCCCTATGCTCTTTCTTTCTGAAAACCACAGTCAAAAACGGGACTTTAAATGATCTGACACATCAATAACAATTAGGCAGCCATAAACCGCCTAAGACAAGGCGTCTGCTTTTTTCATTAGGCTTTAATTCCATATTATACTCCTCATACAGTTCCACATTTACACCAATTAAAACATAATTAATATTGCTTATTACTGGGAAATTATCATCAGGGATAGAGTGGCCAATCCTGAGGGCAGTGAAATGGGGGTCCATCATTCTCTTAATGGAAAAAGACGACCTGCTCAATTATGGCTGTCTATCAATGTCACTACCGACGATGAATCAACTGATTTTTTTTCTTTTGCTTTCTCCCACTAATTGACTTTTAATTTGTTTTTGAGGTGGGGAGAAAAAAAACGAGCAGCTTCTCATATCGTTTGAGTTATTAATGAGAGCGCGCTCCTGGTTTTAGGTTGTCTTGTTTGTTTTTGATAAAGTGTTTTTGTCGGCTGTCAAAAGGCTTTTGTTTACCAGACAGCAACACAACAACCTCGGCTTCAATTTCACCTACTCTGACCCACCACATTGTTAATTTGCTTGTTCGTTTTGCTCTCTTTTCAAATAGGGCTAATTGCATTGGGATTGTTATTTGATAGAGACTGAAGAACAGGTACACGCACTTGCAATTGTCTAAATGAATAGGAAATTGGTAACAACTTCTTACAAATAGCGGTCCTGTTTTCAGAATTTCTTTGAACGAAACACATCTAATGGAATATCTATTTAATTGAAATGCTATAGATAGCATGTTAATTGAGAACTTTATTCTGATGCCCAACATTATGTACAAGTTACTTTTCCTGTGACCCAAATAACAATCACAATCTGACAAATGCAGAATTTGAATACGTCAGATTGAGGCAGAGGTCCAGCACTATGTTAGGCAACTATAAAGTGAAAAAACAGACACAGACTAACGCAGGAACAATACATAATGCAAGTTGAATAATCAGAAAACCATTCCACCATACCTCCAGATCTCTGAGTACAGGGTGCTCCTCGATGCCTGGGAATAGGACCCTCATGGTGTAGGTCCTGTAGTCCAAGAAGGGGATTCCTGCTCCGTCCAGATCACTGGTCAGCTCATGGATGTCTGTCTGGAGCTCTGCGAAAGCTGATGGATAAAACCATACACAAACCAGTTATTTGTATATAAATGGTAATGTACGTTAATATAGCCCCTTTCTAGTCTTCTGTTTACTCAAAGTGCTTGTACACCACATGCCAACATGTACCCATTCACACATTCAGACACTGATGGCAGGGCAGCCATACAAGTTGCTTAACCCACTCAAATCAAAGACATACATACACATACCACCTTCACAGCTCACTTAAAAACATGGTTCACTGAGAACTACACCTGCACACACTAGTCTGTGTTGAGTATGGCGTGAGTGTTACATGTTGTGTTACATGTTGTGTTACACGTTGTGATCATGGATGTTGCCCCTCGTTTCTGTTGTGTGATTGTGATGTGCTCTATGTGACATGTACTGTATTTAGTAACGTGTTTCGTTTATTGTTCTCTTTTATCCTCACACCTGTATCTACTTGTCTTTCCTCCTTTTTATTTTATTTTATACATTTTCTTATAACTAATGCTGTTTATATATTGTAATTTTAAGGGTGTCTATTACCATCTGGCCGGGGACAACAGCTGGAAATTAGCCATGTCGGCTAAAGCTGCAGTATTTATTGTTTTTGTGACAGTTCATCGATGGGGACTGTCCACGACACTATAAATAAATAAACTAAACTAAACTGCTCATCATCTAATCCGGTGATCATTCACATACACCAGAGGCTCAGCCTTAGAGAGAAGTTGGGGGTTCAGTGTCTTGTACTGAAACAAGCCTTCCGATTGGTCTAGTGGAAAGATTCAGTTGACTTATCCATAGAAACAAGCCCTCTGATTAGTCCATTGTAATGAGCCCTTTGATATCCCAATTTAAATCAGCCCTCTTATTGGTGCATTGAAACAAGCACTTTGATTGGCTCATTGAAACGAGCTCTCTGATTGGCACATTGAAACAAGCCTTCTGATTTGCCCAACAAAAGAAGCCCTCTGATTTCTCCATTAAAACAAGCCTATTTATTGGACATATTAAAACAAGACTTCTGATTGGCCCAATAAAACAAGCCCTCTGATTGGCCCAAGGATGAGCAAATATAGTAACATAATTTTAGTCGATAGATTAGACATTTAGATTTATAAAAGCAATAGCAACACTGGATGCTTGCAATAGTTAATACAATTTACGCTGTTGAGCACATACTCAATTGTTACTCATCAATTAATCAGTTCATTCTGCGAATGCTACTTGTGTCAACAGAACTAAATACATCATTCAAAACGTTTCCAAGGTAGAAAAGTTAGTTGGATCTATATAAGAATACATTCTATTCCATACAGTAAAACTGCATCAACCTCTTACCCTCTTTGCACTCCAGAGCCACGCGGGACTCCAGGTTGTCCATCTGCATCTGCAGCCTCTTCAGGGTCAGGTCACTCTCGCGAGACTTGCGCTTGTAGGCAATGAGCACAACCACGATGAAGAGGATGAGGAGAGCTCCGGCTGCAGCAATGCCAATGATAGCTGTGCTGCTGAGGGGGCTGTCGGACATGATGTGGACCACACCTGGGGAGAACTCGATTCCACCCACACGTGCCTTGTGAAGGGGACAGATAAAAAGTCAGATTATAAATAATGCATGCATCTACTGTACATATGTTGTATACACAAATAGAGAAGTTAACTCAAATATAACAATTGGAAAAAGGTTGAATAATGTTAGAGTTTTCTTCAAGGCTAAGGCATTTCACTTATTTGTGAATGCTAATAAAATATTGCGCCTATGAATCTCTTTCAAGGTCTTTAAAGCATTTCTGTTTTCAAAATGAAGATAAAATCCCAGACAGATATATTGACTTTCTATTTAGATGAGTACACACTTCTGTTCATTTGTGCATTTTCTGACTGATATGCGTAACAGTAATGTGTCCATCTTTTCTGATGCAGGCTTTAGGTGGTAACATCAGGAAGCGCTTTGTTCAAAGTGGTCCCTTTTAAAACCACAAATGGAAACACTATTGAGTTTTCCAGGGCCCTAATCCTTCTTATTGAAGGCTTATTTGTTTGTCTTCTGTCTGCTTGTGGGCAGGAACAGGAACCACACAGATAATTGGATCAGAGCTGTAGACTGTCTCAAAGTGGACAAGAAGATAGATAGAAAGCAACACGAGGAACGTTCGTCTGTCTGTCTGTCAAACTGCCGATTTGCAGGACTGTCTGCCTTATATCTGTCATGTGTATCTTTGTGTGTGTGTGTGTGTGTGTGTGTGTGTGTGTGTGTGTGTGTGTGTGTGTGTGTGTGTGTGTCTCTCCTGTCTTTGTGAGCGGGTTCTGTATCACTCACCAGGACCTTGTGTCGGCCCGTCAGGTTCGGTGACTCACAGAGCAGCTGGGTCTCTGACACTGTTAACATGCAGGGCTTCTCTCCAATGAAAACTGTGTAGTTCAGCTTTCCATTCCCAGTATTGGTTGGTGGAAGAAAGTTCCGCCCCTGCAGGAAATAATTTATGCATGAATAAAGACTTATTGTAGGAAGGAAAACACGTCAATATTTCGTATTTATATCAATACTGGAATGATGCAAAATGATATTGCATAAAACACGTTAAGGGATTCTTATAGTCTATAACATGTAGTCAATACATACAGATGCATCTATCCTCATACCTTCAGTATAATGGGGGATCCAGGTTTGAGCTCCAGCACCCCCGACACACTCAGAGGTTCAAACTCAGGATTGGGGTAGTAGATAAAGTTGCTGTTGTTGAGTGCCATCAGAGCCATCACGTCGTCCAGTTTGAAGCCGAACTCATCAGGCCTCTCAGGCACTTCCTGCTGCCGGGCCAGGCTGATGGACAGCTCCGGGGCCTGGCACAGCATGGTGGTGGGGCCGAGGACCTGGCACAGCTGGAAGAACACAGACCAGAGGGGAGAAGTTATATTCATGAATTGATGAATGAATGTTTTAGCAAATAATAAATCAGAGCTTAGTGAAAGCAGAAAAATGCTGGAAATTGACACAAAAATAAAATGAACATGCTTCAGTTTGGTGCTTTCAATCTTAATGAAGATAATGTGAGTGACTCTGCATTAATCCACATTAGTAACTCTGCAAAGGAGGTTACATTTTTGTTAATGTTTGTTCGTCAGAAAGAACGCAAAGAAATAGGGAGTTTATTTGAAAAAAGATAAATGCAATATTGTTTAATATTGGAAACGGCCTTGGCGGAGGTCTGTCCTCTCCAAGTGCCCTCCCATTCCATATCAGAATTTAGGCTGGATGTCAGTAAACCATATACTCAGCTCATAACAGAGTTTCCCTAACACCTCTCCATGCCTCCTTGCAACTAAATCTTTGGAGCACTGGCACTTGAGCATGCAATTTACTTTCTGCATCCAATCTGAAGTTGGTTTGAATGTTTATGTCACAGGTTCACATTTCACTAAGGCCACTGGAGATACCCCATTCAAAGGAGGAGTTCCTTCATTTCTAAAAGTGCAAAGGAGAACCTGTTGGAGTATTTTCCTCAAAGGAAGCCACCAAATGAGGAGCAGTTAGGGAGTGTGTGCAGGCTCATCACAATCTGGCTTTGATGTGTGAAGATTCAGGAGTGATAACTAGGTCTTACCCTTCCTTCATTACGCTCCAGAAAGAGACCCCCACCCTCTCATCACTTCTTTATTCCCTGTCCAGTTATTATTTCTGTGATCTTTTCTCCTCTCTTTGACACATTGTTGTTCTGTCACTCTTCCTTCTCTATACCACTTTACTGCTCAATCAAGGTGTTCTCTTTGATCTTTTCTCGGTGTCTCACTCTTGTTTTGTTGTTCTTTTTTTTGCCCTTGTCTCTCATTGGCCATGTGATGTGATTTACTCTTTTCATTTCCTTATTCACATCTCTGAGACAGTTTTATACACAATAACAGATTGTCTGATCTGTCATTGGCATGCCCTTCAATATCCCTCTTACATCTCCATTCCCCTCTGTCCGTCAGGGCATTGACAAATCAACCAGCAGCATTGGTCTCATTCACATACATTTCTGTCTCACTCAAAGACACTTTCAGTGTAACCTCTGCCATGCAGCCACTCAAACTGTTGCCTGTCACTCTAATTGGCTCCTTCAACATCAGACTGCACTAATCCTCAAAGGTCTCCAGGACGTCTCTGACCTGTATCTTGCACTGCTGCAGGAAGGGAACTCAAAACAATACTTTTCTCTTTGCACAAATGTTGCTTCATCTCAGTGCAAAGTGAAATTGAGCAAATTATTTAATGGAATATTTAACTTATGTTGGGTCAAAGTGCAAACTGCCTGCACACTAGCGTCATGTCAAGTGCAGACATACAGTACGTGAGCACAGATGTTCAACGTGGTGCAAGCTCATGCTCAAATGGGCCATGAAGATAGCATTACCACCTTTTGTCACTTTCTTCAATCAGATCGCACAGACCTTGTATGGCTTTATCTATTCTCCCCTGGGTAAAAGGGTAAATAGAGGTAGAATACTTGGATAAGGGCCAATCACTGTGGTTTCATTTCGGTGTCAAAATGACCTATTGTTACAAAGGTGTGGAGAGGAATTACAACATTCACTATTCAATCAACTGCCAACTGTTGATATTCACTGCTCTGGGTTCTGAGTTTTTTCCTTCACTCATTTACCTAAAAGTGGCACTGAGGCTTTCAGTCATGATCTAATAAAGATATTACTCTGACATTTACTACGGCCATCTGTCTTTGGACTGTCAAGCAGAATTACAAACACCATTATCTTTACACTTCTCAAACAAACAATACATCTTCTCCAGCTGAGAAAACATGTATTTATTAACCAAGATGAAGCACAAGTCAAGTTCTTCAATCATCCACACAGTTTGTGTTTGCCATGACTTACATTGAGTGTCTCATGGTTGTTATATTTGGCTCTGATGAGAGGGGTCTGGATAATGTCCAGGTTAGTTCCTGTCACAGTCACTGGGGTATATCCACTGTGAGAGAGAGGGAGAGATTATCGACAAAAACGTTTTAAGGATAGCTCAGATTATTTTGACAGATGGTGATATAAATGATTCACTAGCAGTGATACGGCTGCATCAGTATCTATTTGCAGTAAGTACCGTACATTTTGTAAAACTAGTGTTTACTGATTGCTATCTGCCCTTGTACCGTACCTGTAGATGCTCCACTCAGGCTCTATCCTGGTGATAGTTGGGTCTTCAACATACTCAAAGCGCAGGTCTTTCTGGAGATGAGCCCTGTCTATGTTCACAGACACAGACACGTTTCCGAATCCATTCAGGGACGCATGGGTGCGACAGGTGAGCCACTGACCCCCCCTCCTGAAAAGAACATAGGGTGATTCAAATCAGTTAGTTATTGACTTAGGAGTGATCTCTTTAGTTGTGTATCACTGTGGGAGCAGACTGCTACAAAATTCCAAAACCAATACAAATGTCATATTTAAGATGATGGAACGGTTTCTTAAGTGAACATGGATAGAGAGTTTTGCCTAGAAAATGGAATAGCGCATTGATCAGTGTTAAATCCTTAGTAATAATAGTGCTATTTTTTTTACTTATCAATATCAAGCAAAAATCCAGCATTTCCAAAACATTCCTTGAGCGCAACATTTTTTACCTTCCAAGGCAAGGCAATTTTATTTATATAGCACTTTTCAGCACGTGGCGATTCAAAGTGCTTTACAGATAAAAAGCAAAAGACATTTAAGAACAAATACAGCATAAATACATTATTAAAAAGGCATTTAAAAACAGGCAAGGTTGCCCTTCTGTGTGTGTGTGTGTGTGTGTGTGTGTGTGTGTGTGNAAAAGCAAAAGACATTTAAGAACAAATACAGCATAAATACATTATTAAAAAGGCATTTAAAAACAGGCATAATAAGCAAAGATAATGAAATAAAATAAATAAATAAACACAGCAGGTACAGAATACATGACTAAAAAGGCATACTGTAGTGTGAGTATGGGCAGCTCAATTAAAAGCAGATAGGTGCGTTTTTAGTCGGGATTTAAAAATAGGAAGTGTTTCGGCGGACGTGCACGATTTAGGCAGTTTGTTCCAAATTCTTGGGGCATAATAACTAAAAGCTGCTTTTCCATGTTTAGTGGTTATTCTCGGAACAGAGAGCAGACCCGACCCAGAAGACCTGAGACTCCTGGATGCTTCATAGTGATGGACTAGGTCGTCTATATACCTCGGTCCTAAGCCATTTACTGATTTAAAAACTAGCAGTAGTATTTTAAAATAAATTCTTTGGTAGACTGGAAGCCAGTGGATCTCAGAACCGGAGTGATGTGATCCACTTTTCTAGTGTCAGTGAGTACTCGAGCAGCAGCGTTCTGAATCAGCTGCAGCTTTCTGATAGATTTTTTTAGTGAGCCCTGTGAATACACTATTGCAGTAGTCGAGTCTACTGAAAATAAAAGCATGGACACGTTTTTCTAAATCCTGTTGCGACATTAGTTTTTTAATCCTTGATATATTTTTCAGGTGGTAGTATGCAGACCTAATAACTGTTGTAATGTGACTGTTAAAATTCAGGTCTGAGTCCAACACTACACTTCCAGGACATTTAATTATCGACTTAGCTTATGTGGGAAATAAAACGATCCAACAAAGATGAGAACTGTCAGAGGGTATAAAACCCTGCAGTTTGACTAACACAAGCTTTGACTGAGCTTTTAATTGACTGTTTGAGTGTTATTGGCAGGATCAGCTGTGTCTAACCTCAGATAAGTGCACGGCTGGTCCTTAAACATGATTGACACGTTGCTCCCAGCGTCAAGGTGGCTGCCGGTGATGTTGACGATGGTTCCTCCAGAGACCGGACCTCGGCTGGGCTTCAGGTTGATAATCCTTGGGATCTAGGCAAAAAAGGGACAGAGTTTGTAAAATAATATCCCTTTGAGTTTTAATATATACCTTCACTTACTAATCCCACTGACATAAACTACACTATGGTGGAAAGCTTTAACACAGCAACAGCTGACTGGAAAACAGGCACACAGTAAATCCTCCTTCAGTTCATGTGGCCTTCTTATAATCTCATCTCCAGTCTGCTGCGCTGTGTGACATCTAGACCTGACATCATATAATTCTGTACAGGGAGAAATAAACCTCGGCCATCGTCCATTAATAGCTGGCAGTAAAAATGTTAAAACTCCATAAAACCAGAACATAATGGTAAAAATTGCAATTTTATTTCAGTGTGTGCGAGTGATGCTGATTAATTGCGGCCAGCATGGGTTATAAAAGAACACAGAAAGTGTGTTATGTGTGTTTTTGTATGTGTTCATATCAGAAGAATGTTTTTTTTACAACCATCAGTATTTCTTTCTGTGCTCATTAGCGACTGCCAATTATGTCTCACTGCTGATAAACAGATGAGAATACTTAGAAGGAGTATGACTATGAATGAGTAGGAATTGCAAAAAGGCAAATCCAATGATGATACAAAATACATAGATTTTTCTTTGTATACTCACCACAAAATAGTAGTTTTTGGAGGACTTTGCCATGAATTCTGGTCTGCACTCTCCAACCCCGACACAGACCTCCGCGTTCCCAGTGTACTGGCTCTTCTCTGCTTTACCCATCTCACAGACAATCCTAGAAACACAAATTAGCATAATTGTAGATATAAATGCATACAGAGACATACACAAATGTATGTCACACGCAAAAATGCCTTGAGAAAGTCTATAGAAAGTCCTTCTGCAGTTAGTTTGCCTTGCCAGCAAATTCTGAGCAAATTGTGTAAAAAGGAATGGACCTAAACCTGTTAAAACCTTAATACAATAATGTATTATTTGGCAGAGACTTCCCCTCTCGAACACTGCCAACTTGTGGAAGAAAAGGGAAAAGTCTACCCATTTACATATGACCTCAAATCCAGCCACCTCTTCTGCTGGGTCAGCACTTGCTTAGATTGGCACACAACTTACTTTCTTAGCAGAAGAAACCCTGGGGTCTGCTGATAAGACAACTTTTAATCTAGTTTAAATAATATGACAGATGGCACCTGTAAGGAACCAAAGCTCTGGATTAAACTCAAAATGTCAACTAAATGTAACTTCCTGAACTTTTTAAAAATGATTATGGAGCAGAGCGGGCTTGAGTGAGTGGATGCATGTGTATATGTGAGTGTGTGGGAGTGTGTGCACCTGTGCTGCTATACAATATGGAGGCCTGATGCCTGCATGTCCATATACTGCAGAAATTTATTTTACTCTATTCTGCACTGCTGTGACTTGAAGTTGAATCCAACTTCTGGTCTAGATATTAGGCTTATTTAGCAAGAGGTTACTGATTATGGGATTCTCTCTCTATCACACACACACACACACACACACACACACACACACACACACACACACACACACACACACACACACACACACACACACACACACACACACACACACACACACACCCTGAGGGTGAGTTCTCCAGCGTAGTATCAGTTGGTCAGGCTGACTTGTTACAGCTCGTTGTGTGTACTAACAAAGGGAACATAGTGTTGTACCTGTGTGTGACTGGAGCCCTGTAGGGCATGAAGTGCTCAGCTCTGGTCAAAGAGCTTTCAATAGGATTATGTCAATTCAAGTGACAACGGAAACAGTCTGTTGGATTCAGGATTTCACTTTGCTACTATTCCAAAACACGGTTTGAATTCTCCCTATGGTTTCCGTACAGCTGTAAAAGCCTATATCCCGAGAAATTATCTACATTTTGGTCGATAAAATGGTGAATGGTGTACTACATCAGAGCCTGTAATTGTATGTGATCATAATAGCTTCTGCCTCAAATGGGAATCATGGTCTACAAGAAGTGTACATAGAGACAAGAGAAGGATGTCCCTTTTTATTACACAGTGATGCTGGTGTGCATTTAGTCGTCAATGTAAAAGGTGACTTACTGCTCAGCAGGGATGTAGCCCTCTCGTATGGGGGTGCAATCCACCTGGGCCACCTTCACGTTGTCCTGGATCTCTCTGAAATCCAGGCCCAGGTTCTCGCCACGAATAGTCACGAGCGTGCCGCCCTCCCTTGGCCCCCGGAGAGGTTTAATCTGTTGAAATATAAATCATTATTAATGATTTGAAGACGGGATTTTGCTTGTTTTCCGCGAAATACATATTGCCTTGCAAAAAGACTTTTCCTGGCAACGCAACTTGCGCCTATGAAGGAGAGTTTAATTTAAAAGTCAGTAAAACATGAAATAATCAGTATATAACAGGGGTGATATAAATGCTACAAATGACACTGCTTTTTCACATGAACTAAGATACAGTATCTTCACGGTGCGGTGCCTTACAATGTTCCTATTTCTTCCCGTTTTGGGCTCTGAAGAACAATAGCTTTTCATGTGTTTTTAATATTTTCCAGTTCATTGGGATAAGTGATTAGTGTTTTCTGTTCACCCGTTTTATAACTCTCAGATGTAAAAAGACTTTGCTGACGACTAAGGGGACCTGAGCCATTGCTTTGGAAAAGAGACGAAAAACGATACAATAATATCTCCATTGACAGCTAAAGGGGTCAAGAGTCAGGGTCACATGATTGTCATTTCTCAATCTTGTATTCACAGAAAACCATGACAATATACTATTTATGATTAACTTTAAACTTGGCGCTGGGTGACATCTGTGCAGTAATCACAGTGTCCTATGATTTATCAGCAGCATCTCTCATTGTTGATGAGGTCGTTCCAACATCCATCAGCACTTTACTCACACAATTACTTTTTGGCCAGTGAGTGTGTATTATGGCGGCTCAGATGGATGGATGTTCGACGGACACAGAATGGTCTGTTTCCATCTGTCTCTGTCAAATAGTTGTCCATGCTGCATGCTGCAGTAAGGGGCCCAGCTTTAGTGGTGCTGTGTCACCACCCCCTCAAAAAAAAAGTGATCACAAAAAAAGCGGCTGACACACTTGTTGTTTCCCTGCTTGATTTTATAGTTTGCATTGAGCCCCCCAGCAGTGTTCACAGGTAGAGTGCTTAATGAGCGTGTGTGTGTGTGTGTGTGTGTGTGTGTGTGTGTGTGTGTGTGTGTGTGTGTGTGTGTGTGTGTGTGTGTGTGTGTGTGTGTGTGTGTATCTTTATAGTGTGGCTTGGAACTCTTCATTGTTCTGCTATGATAAACCTCATGTTACAACTACATGAAAACAATCCATTTATATTTGACAATTTGATTATTCAACTAAGAGGTGATGTAAATTAACCAGCTGGGTGGGACAGGGAATGATCCAATCAAATGACAGAGATGACCTCAATCCCGGTCATACACAACAAGGCTGCCATGTGGGAGACAGGGTTTAAGTATGGTTCAGTGTCTCTGATTAATAAGTCTCCCTGCTGATATCCAAATGAAAAAAAAGCCTTCCAGGAATGGGGCTACAATACAGGCAATTAAAAGACTGCCCAGATGCATTGTGGCTCTCCATTTATTAGATAATATGGAGGATTGCAAGGGACAAAGAGTTAAAGAGAAATAGAGAAGGAGAAGGCAAAATAATGAAAAAGAGGGAGAGACGCAATGAGGCGTTGATTAGATTTGTGACTTTGACAAGATAATTGACGGTTGGGTAGAGGCAAACACTTAATCACTTCACTTTCTCTCTTCCATCCTTCTATGAGAGTCTCTCCCTCTCATATTGTTGATGGGCGATGTCATTATAATGAAGCGTATTAGAATGCATTAGAGCCACGGTCGTCTTGGAAAAGTCCTCACTCCTCACACACTGACAGATTTTATGGGGGACGTGAGAAGGCTGCAATATGTCCCTGCTGCAGCCTCAGGGATGTGAGCAGAAATACAGGGCCTGTCTCCAGGAATAAATCCACTGCCCGCAGGGAAGGCAAACAGTGGAGTGGACCAATGACAGAGTGCAATGTAGTAATGGAGACTCTTTAATAAGCACATCAAGAGACAAGATATCACCATCTTCTTCTCACCTTCTTCAACAGTTGATTTATTTGTTCCTGGATACAAATAATCAACATGGTCTTGGCTACTTAAAAAAAGTAGAGTAAAACAGAGTGCTTAGTGTCCAATGATTCCAGACCTTTCTCTTCTGTGTCTGACTATCCTGCTTTGTTTAGGAAAATAAGAGGAAGATGAAACCCATCCGGCTAACATGATCTGTTGAGATGCAGGATTATAGCAAACAATGGGGTTTGTAGTGGCGCTTTCTGTGAATATCCACCAAGGTCGGCCACTTATCTGTATGCTAGTCTATGCAGGATGGTGTAGGGAGAGGAGAGTGGACAGAGGAGAAGGGATTATCCTTCTATTTCTGTATCCTCCTTCCTTCTCTCTGTACAAACCTATCACTCCCCAGGACACCAGAAGGGAATCCCCCTCTCTGTCTTTTTATCAACGCTTCGCTAGTCAGTCACCATCTGCTCCTACCTCTCGTTCTCGAAAAAAAAAAATGATGACCTGTATATCCATCATGGGGATATGGGGAGGGTCTTCCACCACCCCTTCAGCTTAACATGGCTCTATTCTGGCTCAGTCTACCCATCCGTCACCACCTTCTTTCATGTAGACCCAATCCATCCTCCTCTCCCTTCATCTTGGCATCTTGTGTCATCCATCTTTCCATTGCATCTTTGTATCCTTCATGTCGCTAACCTGTATCCCTTCTGCTTTGCCCGTTTAATATGTCTTACGCAGGTCAATTCCATCTGCCTCTCACGGTGTCTGTGGTTTTCCGGAGTTTTCAGGGTTAAGTGGGGTTTGCGTGACCATCTGGTTTCAGTTGATTGATAACTAGCAAGAATGAGAAAGATTAGTCTCCTTTCTAGGTCTAACATGGACAATCCTCCTATAGTGTTTGTATGTCCACTATAACAGTAAGATGGTGAGTCAATTCTGTCAAAAAAAATTCAATGTCAAAGTCACAAAAACAGTAAATAAATACAAATAAGCGATTTTCCGCTTACAGTTTTATTTATTTTAATATTTGACCCTTATTTTGGGTCTTTTGGCCCTTTGTTGGATAGGAAAGGGATTAATAGAGGGTGTGACATGCAGCAAAGGGCCACAGATTGGACCTGAAGACGGACCTGGTGAAAGGACCCAGACAAAGTACGTGGGGCTGGACCGCCACAGGTGAGCCACCCCTTACACTTAAGACAATGTATTTAAAAGACCTGTGATTATGGTTTATCACTTTGATACTGTAGACTGTAAATCATTCCTTACACATGCTGTCAAACTAAATAGCTTGACTCACACCCTCTTCAATTATGTTAAAATGACCAACTACCACGCTGTCCTGCTGATGAATATATGCTCCCATCAGTGCTCTGTTATTAAATCAAAATATACTTAAAGTACCAAAAGTAAAATTAGTCATTGTGCAGATTGGTCCATTTCAGAATAATATATATGATATGTTTTATAATTCAATAATTATAAAACATATCATATATATTATTCTGAAATGGACCAATCTGCACAATGACTAATTTTACTTTTGGTACTTTAAGTATATTTTGATTTAATAACAGNTATATAAGAGATATGAAGACACACACACACACACACACACACACACACACACAAGAGTGTCAGACTCGCAGTACAAAATCCACTGGACGTTTTGGTCGCTCTTCCAACGTTTATTTTCCAGCAAAAATAAAGCAAAATACGAAAACAATATTTAACGTAAACTTAAACAGCAGATCCTACTAATCCGTCTTTTTGGTAAACATAAGGCTACATATGTGACGTGTCAATGACGGTTTTGCTGCTGCCCTCCCGTCACACACCGCACCTCCAACTTAAAGCTTTAGCCCTTTGACCTTCACCTGAGCAAAGCGCACCTCTCACTGAAACAGAAACATTTATTAATAAAGGTTCCAAATAAATCAAAACAAAATCAACTTAAATGCGGCTCCTACAGTACTGCTTCCCTTCTCTGGTTGTAAACAACAGACCTGTGGGTAAGAGGTATGCATTGTTTGTATGTATATTTGAAGGTAAAAGCGTGCGTCTGTGGGTTTCTGTGTGGGTTGTTTGCCTCGGGATACTTTATATGATGTGGTCTTATTAAATCAGAGTGAGAAAAGGAGGAACAGACAGGAGTGATAGAGAAGCACAAAGGAACCTGAAGCGATTAAACCCGACTCAAACTGGCTTAGCGGTGAAAGCTCCACAGAAAGCCAACAATGGTCGCCGAGCTTTAAATCTTGTTTATTTCCGCTCTCCCTCTCTCTCACTGTTTACCCCTCCTCCTGCTCTCTTCCTCTCTCAAACAGATTATTTTCTTTTCCTTTATGTCTGTCTTGTTTGTGGCACATAAGGCTGCTTAGTTTTACAATACTAATGTCAGGTTAAACCCGTCCTGCCGTAATGTCTCAGATTCAGAATAAAAGGTGCCGTGCTGTATAAGGTATTACTATATTTCAGACGTCAAACACTTCCAGGTCTTTCTTTTATCCGTTCATTATTACATCATTCTTCCTTTTCATTCTTTTATTTATTTTAAGGAGTTTCAGGGCAGTCTGTGGATTAGCCAGGTTGTTAATTGCTCAGTACGTTTTTTGTCTGAATCAATAGGGGATTTAACTTGTATAAATGTATGAGGGGATTAGATGGGAACGTGTGTGTGTGTGTGTGTGTGTGTGTGTGTGTGTGTGTGTGTGTGTGTGTGTGTGTGTGTGTGTGTGTGTGTGTGTGTGTGTGTGTGTGTGTGTGTGTGTGTGTGTGTGTGTGTGGGGGAAAGGAAGGTAGAAATTACATTTAGGGCCAGTTTTCTAACTCAATGTACTTTTATAAAAAACTTGAAGCTTCATCCTTTTTTTGTCAGCCACTTCAGCTGTAATACTTAACTTTTAAACTTATTACCATAGTTTTTTTTGTTGGTACAAACTTACATTTCCACAAAAAAAGTCCTCCTTACTGCCAAAACCACTGTCCTGTACTGGATTAGACCACCTGGTCTGTATTAGGAGGCGAACAAATCCACCCCTGCCTCCCACCAATATCCAGATCTCCACCTGCACTTGGCATTGCTCATGAATGCCAGTCATTAAGACAGCATTACAAAGACGAGGCCTACCTCTTTCCCAACGGACAGGCTCCACTTCCACATATAGAGCAGCCATTGTTTTAAATGCCACTGCTCCCGCCCTCTGGAGACCGGGTTTCCATTCACTGGACACTGTAGCTAGTACGCTGCCAGAGAGGAAATATGATAAATGTGTCCAACTCTGTCCGTCAGGCAGCAGTGGGACATTCTCTTTTTCCCCAGATGTCAACAGGTGGAAAGGGGTATGATCTGGTCCGGTTATTTCATGTGTGTGTGTGCATTTTTCATCCGTGAATAACACCCCCTCTCTTGTGTTTGTGTTCCCAGGTGCACCAGAAAGGAGAAATGTGAGCGCTCATCAGAGCCCCGTCGCTTTGCATCAGACATCAAGCAGTGTGTGCGTCTCAGCGTCCACCCAAACAACATCTCAGTGTCCCAGTTCAGTGTGACGGTGAGTGGATAGAAACGTACTTTTACTTCTACAATAAAAAAAAAAATAATAATGACCTGTTTTATAAAAGTTCTGCACAGTTTGTCATATCAGAATCAGATCAGAATACCTTTATTCGTCCCACAAAAGGGACATTTACATTGTTACAAGCAAAAATAGCTTAATATTAATTAAAATAGGATTTACACAAATTACCATTTACAAAATACACATCCAGTACCAGTGACAGTATTAAAAAGAAAGTGTAGCTTGTATCAAATAATTCATCTCATGCAATTACTTATTGTTTAATTAATCTGTCATAAATTAACAGCAACATACAAATGTCCGAAAATAAAATACTAGTTGTCATTAACTCATGTTTCTTTTTTCGTGCCATTTGACGTAGAGATTGTTTAATAATTGTTTTCCAGTCAATGAGGGAGAAAACACTTTAGCGATCATTTGTTTTAGTGCAGCCATATTGCATTAAACAGTGATGCTAGCTGAATGTGATGCTAGTGAGAACATCTTGTCTGGCAGATTGACAACATCACACACTCAAGGATCATTTGTAATATGTTGTAATTACGCTCTAGATAGTGATTAGTAGACCGTGTTAACTCTATAATCCTGCTTTGCATCAGTTAACTGCCTGCCAAAACGCATCCTTCAGAACCTGACCTCGCAACGTCCAGTGAAACACTTCCCATCAAATGTCAACAATCATTAGCAGCACACAGTTTAGCTCAGCTGTGTTTATAGGGGATGTTGGCAACAAATTGGCAAAGATAATTCTTCCTCCAGTCGTTTTAGTTGGAAAAAAAACTGCCTGATTTAAAGCTCTGACTTATTTTGGATTGTTTGAGTGTATTCACTAGTTTGATAAGGAGCTGTTATATATCGGGTTGTTGTTAATCCACCTTTTGGAAGATGAATGGTCTGTGTGAACTTGTATGCAAGGAAATAAATAGATATGGCTTTAACAGAGACCTACGGGAGTAGGTATTCCCTTGCACTGTGTCCCATTTACTCCCCACCAAAGGCCCATTCTGATTCAATAGTTATTTTTCAGTTTGACAGGACCAGTCAAAGTGGCTCTGTAGGTGTGTGTGTAGATGTGTGAATCACTTTATGATGTTCCTGTGATTTCACTGCAGGTTCAGGAGAAGATTGACATTCCCTTGTCATGCTATTTTATATCATCCTAGCCTCATAAACCTCAGTGCCCGTTTGAAAGGTTGTAACACTTATAGTTATAAAAGTCCCACTGACCTTAACCATCTAAAGTAATGTCACATTTCAATTCCCATTTCCTATGGTTTGGAAATGGTTTTGAATCCTAGAGACTTGGTCCATAAATATAAGGTCAAAGGTCAACTCAGAATGACTATTCTCCATCAGTGTTGCTCTGAGGTTCACATGAGAGGTTTTGATTTTCTGTGGTACACTTCTGCACCACTCTAATTATATTCATGGGGTGTGTGCTTGTGTATGTGTATGTGTGTGTGATGCGCTCATGTCTGATCCTTTAGAGAGTGTTTAACCTTTTCGCAGCGAGCAGGCTTTACCCAAAGGCTATGCCACATGTCTCCCATCCAACTGATTGCAGGGCAGAGGTTTCTGCCAGACAGACAGCGGCTGCTCCTTGACCTTTATGTTATTAAATATTTGTTTGAAAAGATAAGCCAAGGCATTTTTGACAGAAACAGATACACTCTATTGCTGAAATCAGATCTATTCTTAGAAAAAGCCACTGTTTGATTTCCATCTAACTCTCTGTTGTTAATGAAATACAGTAGTTGACTCAAATTACAATAAATTATTTTAAAGTTAAGTAAGAGAAAACAGTATCAGCCATGACATTTGAAGGCTAATTTAAGGCTTAATTAAGAGTAGCTATAAAGTGTTATCTCTTAACTTATTACCAATATGTCAAAACAGTCTATGGTGTATTCGAATGTATGCTGTCGATAGTGTCTGTATTATACTGTATGTTCTTATACCTGATCTATAGTGTATTCAATTTCTATACGGCTGTTAAAAATGTTCATACCTCCTTATACTGTTCACAGTTTAAATACATCATTTTCTTTATATCAATCAGTTTGAACAAATAATGAGCTGTATTCCCTTTACACAGTAGCAGTTAAAATGTTTCTCGTAAATCAGAATTTAAACATTAATTAATGTTATCAAATCAAATATAAAACCAAAGCTATTTGCCACTGCCAGGGCATTACCGTTTTATCTAGTGTGTTAAAAAAAGTTATCCTCAGAGTCCAGAGATAAGAAAACATTGCAGTGGTTACACATAACTCTGTTTCTATCAACTCCTAGCTACTTCTAGCAACTGAAGAGATGTAAAATGTCCATGTAAGAGTTCGGTACCTTCCTCCATGTTTCTGTCCCCGCGAGTTCGTTTCGGTTCATGTGAGCGCTGCAGCAGTCTTAGGCCCGCCCCAAATGCTCTCATTGGTTGAGACGCGTGACGACGCTAATCCAATCCTAATCAACATCCCCTGCCTCCTGTTTGTCTGTATGTGTATTCAGAGCCAGTGAGCAACAGACTTTCAAAATAATATTAATAATAAAAACACTTTCAATGCGCGATACAATAGTTGTCTACGTTAATTAATTAATGCGTTATCGCAATAGTAACGCGTTAACTTGCCCATCCCTAATATATACTATACTTGAATAAACTCTGCAATTTCTGCTTGTTTTGCACTTCTGGTTGGATGCAAACAACTTTCCATTGTCTTAGTACTTGTACTGTGCAATGACAATAAAGTTGAATCTAAACATTTGCAGGTAAGGTTTGTTTAGCAGGGCAACATGAACATTCTATTGGATGTGTCTGTTGTTGCTTGTAACATGAGTTGGTTATTTCCATATGTATGCAGCCCTGATGGGACTAGGCTTGTCCATTACTACTCTAAATGTATTTGAGGAAACTCAAGGTCTAGCTGTGTTCCCTCCATAAAGGAAAAATAGCGAGAGAAGTAGAAAGTGAGAGGAAGAGTGAGCAATGAATGATAAGAGGATGTGTGAGAGATGGTAGCTATGTCCATCTGACGTGGGAAGCTTTGTGTCTGTTCTCACCCGCGCCACCATCTTTTCATTAAACAGCAATATAAAAACAGCGCAGGTCAGCCCTTCTCACATCGTGTACCACGGACTGCAGCTCAGATCAATGCCTGGACCGAGGCCCACTGCGGACACGCTTTCCCATCAATATGTATATTTTGGTCTTGACCCCACTCCACCTGGCTCTACGACCCAGTTAATTTAACTTCTTATTCAAGGACAGTTTTTTTTTCTTCTTTCCTGCTGCTGCACCTGAAGCCAGTTTTTGCTAAGGTGCATAGAGAGCTTACACAGCATTTTCAATGAAGAGGGAAGATTTGCATTCTCCATTTCCCACAGAATTGTCTTCTTTCTGCCTGTCCAGCAGCCTGTATGCTGAGCTAGGATGTCAAATACATACAGCTCATCGACTATGAGGCATTTAGGGCTTGGTTTACAGATAGGAGCTTTTAAGTTGAAGTGTTTTGCCGTTATTTGGATGTTTCTGCACGATGCATCAGATGTCGGTCCATGTATTAAATTATCAGTCAAGAGTCCCCCGTGGCTCCTCTGGCCGCTGACCACCCTGCAGATGGATCATTACTCTGCATAGAACTTGCAGCTGTGCTTCTCCTCTTCAGCAATATGTGTTACAGTCAAACATATTGGCCCCAAAACTGATCTGAAGTCCTCTCAGATGTGGGAATCTAAACACTGTGTGAAGCAGTCAAAACTTAACTGAATACCCCCTTTTGTTTTGTTAAGCTATGGTTCAAAATATTTCATTATTTCAATAATCTTTTGTAATATTTTTGTTATAATATTACTTTCAAAGTGAATATTCATCATAATATTCCCAAGAATAGTGAAAGCTAACATTCCTTTGTATATTTCCCTCCCTTCAGTTGGTGTTGGAGGCCCATAATGTTCCAGAACTTTCTGCGGGTGTGAACTGCACCTTCGAGGATCTGACTGAGATGAATGGCTTGGTGGAGGGAAACCGGATCAAGTGCTTCTCCCCCGCTGAGAAAGAGATGCCACGCATTATTGTTGACAAAGGTAAGGGTGGATCTAAGGTAATCATTTTGCTTACATGTCAACAAACTGGTATCAGAAATTATAATATTCTATACCAGCCAGAAGTGGATTATACAGAAATCATCTCTGTGCATTTGGAGGAAGACTGCTGATATCCGGACACAATCTAATTGTTTGTAATATTAGGGAGAATATCTTATTTTAATTATTTTAAATGTCCTAGCATCTAGTATTTATCAACATTGGTGAACCTGTTGAATACAAACAGTACATGTCTGTGGAAGCAGCCTTTGATCTGGATGTCCTAGGGCTATGAGTGATTTTGTGTGTGTATGAATTTTTGTTTTCCCGTCACCATCAGTAACTCAGTGGGCCTTGGAGCACTGCCTCAGGACATGTTTAGTAATTGAACGAACATTAGTAATTGGGCTGCTGTGGGATCGATTTGGCACCCTCCCTCAAAGCGGATATGCTCCAGAGGGAGCGATGGGACCCCTGCTAACCCCACTGCAAAAGCGCGATATCAAGCCGCACAATTACCTAAGTGTTTTTACTACAGTATTTTGGCTAATGTAGTGCCTGGAGATTACACAGTCCCTGCAGACAATTTCACTGTTACAATTGCTTTCAAGAGGCAAACAGCTAAAAACATTTCTGACAGTATTCATTCCGCAAAGACTGGACCATATTTTTTTATCTTTCTAATTCCCTTGCACTTCACCTCGCCCTTCTGTGGTTGACTAAGCCCGGTCTAATTGAACAAAGCTCCCTTCTGGGAAGACTTGTCCCAAGGCATCCTTCATCACAGTCCTCAATGTGTCCTCGTGTGGAGATAATGGAGATACCGTCCTCTTACATACAAAAGGACAACATGAATAATGAATGAAAAGAGAGAATAAATAGAAAGGAAAAGATTTTGATCCATCAATGATGCCCCACATTTACATACAAGGGAATGCTAACTGATGTTTTTTAAATGCCACAACGGTTGAGGTTTAAAAAATATGGCTTTCACGCTTCCTTATGTTAAAAATGTTGGTAATGGATGGTAAATATTGGAGCCAGAAACCGAGATTAGTAAAGTGCAGTGAGGGAAAGTGAGCATATCATCATGAAATCACAGTGCTGGTGAGACCTTTAAGGCCTGAGCTGAACACATGCACTAATATTCAAATGTGTCTCAATTTATTCAGTTCACCCACAAGAACAGGAGCTTCACACACACATACTGTAGACTGCCATGAACAAACACCACGGCAGTAAAGTTCTCATCAGATAGACAGCACACATGTTCATATGTAAGGCTTACGGGGAGCCTGAGGGTGCTTTGGGGTATTAAAAATGTTTAAAGTTTGCCATGTCAACCACATGTTAAGCTGACAACTCTGCAGTCATGCAAACATACATACAGTATATACAAACATACTCAGACAAACAAAGCATTCAGCATTCCTCCCGTCTTCTTTTTCTCCCACACCTGCAATCGAACACAGTTATATCCTTATTACTGTTTCGCCAAGAGGAAAATTCCACATTTATCCCTTTATTTGAACCTTTCACCTTCCATTTTTTTACTAGCACTCATTAGTTCTAAGTTTGGTTGAAAGCGAGAGAAGAAAGAAGAGAGACGGATGGAGGGAAGACAGAGGGAGGGATAGATAGTGTTAGCAGGCTTCAAGGTAACATTTAGGTGGCCTAATTAGGACAGATCCGTTGTCAGCGGTGCTTTACTGTGATTGATGAACGATTCCCTCTTTGTTAGAGAGATGGAGGGAGACACAGGGGAGACGGGGGAGGAACGAGTCGCAGGAGGGAAGCGAAAGGGACCTGTGAATAGAGATATAGTGAAAGACAGAGGGGTACAGCGAGAGAGACGGAGCAGTTAGATGTGATATGTGCTGTTGAATTAAACATGAACTCCTTCATTAGGGCCAGACAAAAGGACACACCAAATACATATGAGGCACAATCTCGCATAACACACACTCACACACATATACACACAGTTTCTGTTTCATCTTGTTCCCCCTTTACCTTGACAAAGACACTCTCAAAGAGTTTTCTACGGGAATATTTTTCAATCCCAAGGGAAAAGCGTGTGCACCAACTCTTAGTCTCCTGTGAGGCGGCAGGTATAGGGAGGCTAAACCCAACAAAACCCTTCAGTCTCCTCCTCTCCTCAGATCCTGCCTCTCCTCTGCAACAGGCTCAGCACCTGTGGCTCAGTCATCTCTTCTTCATGGGAAATGTGACTAGACACTGAAAATAATCAAACTGTTAGACAGTGGTTCTTTAAAAGTGTGTACCTACTGCAGCTTTTACCATTATATTATATTCTGTTGGTCTGATTTCAAAAGATGAATCAAACTCTCCACAATGGGTTTAAAATATGACTTACAAAACAAATGACCCAAATTGCTTTTATGAATTTGTTTTCTCTTTTATCTTAATACAAATACTGTTTTCCTCTTCATATTACTTCAAATGTTTACTATCATCTATTTTCTCCAGGGGACCACCAGATCGTGCAGCTCTATCTCAAATCCAAGGAAACAGGCCTGGCATTCGCAAACACCAGTTTTGTTTTCTACAACTGTAGCGTACACAAGTCGTAAGTCTATTTCTTCCCTCGAGCACTTCTCTCCAGCAGACGGCTTGTCATAATTGTAATCCCTTCATATTGATGAAAAACAAATGGCATTGATTCCTAAACTGTTGGAAATTGTATTGTATACATGAGTAAGTAGGCATATTGAGCTTCTCTAGCGTATTTGCTGCCTGTTCAATACTAATTCCCAACAATGTGTTTGGCTCACATCTGTTCTCTATGCAGGTGTCTGTCCTGTGTGAGCAGTCCTTACCAGTGCCACTGGTGTAAATACAGACATGACTGCACCCACGACCCTCGAACGTGTTCCTTCCAGGAGGGCCGAGTCAAGAAGGCTGAGGTGAGTGTCAAGATAATTTTTTATTATTCCTTTATAACTTTAAGACACTGACCAAAGCTCACCTTTTCAGACTGGCTTTTAACATGTGATTCATGTTGTGTCCTAGCTCATTTTTTATTCAACTTTGTATCTGTTTGATTATTTTTACCAGTGTAAAGTTTCTTTGAGCACCTGATAAAGCACTTCAATAAAAATGTATTACTATTCAGACATCAACCCCCCAGCCCCCCCTGTACGTTCACTGGAGATGAAATCCCTCAATGAGCTGCCATCAAGAGGCCCAACATGTCCTGCCTGTACAATCAGTGAGATTTAAAATAACCATGGTTTGATGCTTCCCAGCTCCACCCTGCCTCTTCTTATATGGCCAGCTGGGTAATAAACACAGGGACATAAATTGGGGGGGAATGTTCGGGTATGTGACTCTAATAGCTGCTATTCTGCTTTTCACATGCAAAAAGAGTTATGTTAAAAGGCTTGAGACACCTTTCAGCTATAGTGCTTCCATCTGGCACGAGTCTCTCGGCATGTCTCGCTCTTGACTGCACATCAAAGGGCAGTGGAAACTAATAAAACGCAGCCATTTCCTCCTGCCCATCCCTATTCCCTGTGACAGCTTAGTCCGTGTGAATTATCAATAGTATTGGCAGCCGGTTCTATTCCCGTCGAAGCAGAGCCCGCCGTAATTAGTCTGCTCTGCTGCAGAGGACAAGCCACTCACTGAACGAGGTACATTCAGTGAATCCCCCCCCCCCCACACCCAACCACTTCCAGTCCTGTGAGAGAGGTCTCACTCTGATTTAGAGTCCTGCCACAGGGTCGGCCTTCAGTACAGAGCAGTGAAGGAAGGTTTTGAGACACACTGTGTCTGTGTGTAACCTCTGGTGTGTGGCAGTGTAACAGTATGTCTGTATCAGTGGGCTTTATATATTTGTATATGTGTGTGTGTTTGAATAGAGCTTTTGCCTGTGCCCTGCCAAGTCACGGTAGTTTTCAGTGGGAGGCTTTTACAGGGAGTTAGTGGCCTGTTAATCCCAGCCGGAGGTGAGCTGTGATGAAGATCACTAGCGCTCCTGTCTGGTTGGCAGACGCTGCTCGACGGGCAGGGACAAGCTTAGCCAGATTGCCTGCTTTGATGAGCAGTCTGCTCTCAATTGTGTTATTCCACCCATGTTTCCCCGGAGCCATTCAAACTGCGTAGACGTTATTATTTTCTTTTTCCGCAATTTCCATTATCCTTTTGAACCTTCTGCTTAGTCAGGCCCAAGCTGGAGTCTTTGCAGGTTTACTTTTCCAATTAACTCAGAGGCTGGTGGTCAATATTGACTGAGGATAATAATGTGGGAATCCTCTCCTATTGTGTTGCTGACGAAAAGAAAACCGTAAATAAAGCGAAGGGGATTTGGTATTAGCACATTAATGACATCCTTTTTTTTTTTACGTGTTGTTTCAGAGAAGGCAGGTGCTTTGCAGGCTTAATGACTTTTAATTTGCTTTTAATTAACCCTTCGAATTCAAGGTCGTGCATTTGCTGCCAGATTTGTGGTTTACCGGTTTGAATTAATGAATTGGACACACACAAGCTTAAGAACATGCAGGCACACGCACAACGAGCCATAGAACCATTCCCAAAATGTCCTGATAGGCAACAAGTCATCTTTGCTCAATGAGATGGGATGGCCCCTTTCTGCTGCTGATGACTTTTTGTGTACTATTACAATTAAGGGATTTCAGGCAGCGATCTGAATAATCCCTTAACTCTATGCTAATGACGGTGGCCAAAATAATCTCCCAACTGGTTGAGCTTGTTGTTAGTATGCATGGCAGCACAGAGTTAAAGCCAGGCCTCAGCGTACAGTGGGTGCCTTTTTGTTCATGCCAGTGATGATATGGGCACACGGATCAGACGTTTGCCTGTTGGCACATTAACCAAGGCCACGTCCCAGTCTGCCCTCCACACATCTCAAGGACTAAGCCCTTCTCACTGACAAAGAACCTGCATGCGGCTTCTCTTTGTTACACAGAATAATAGCTCAAAGTTATTCCTGACCACTACTGTTGCATTTATTATATGACTAGGCTTTGCTTGTTTGATCAATAAGCAGTGTTTTTTACCCGCATGTTTATCACTTTTTCTAACTCCATCCACCATTCAGGACACTTTCTGAATGAAAAACATGATATTTCCCTTTCTTCTTCTTTTGTCTACAACACAGCATTTTCATTTCCTGAGCTGTTTCTAAGCCTTCCTTTAATATAAGCAGCCGGTAAAAAATACAACAACATTGTATTGTTACTGAATACATATCACTACCCCTCATTGCATTATTTACTTGTTGTGTGTGCTGCAGTGACCAATGCCTGGGAGTTTATTTACCAAGAACGTATTGATCAGTGGATCAAGATAATTTTATTAAACAGGCTAACTGCCAGCAGTAATAGCTGCTAGTTGCTAATATTGGACAGGATTGGTAAAGAGAGGTGCTTCGGTTCAATTCATAGACAAATCAATGTCATACACAAACACTGACTGATAAAGAGTGAGGCAAATACAACTGATGAGGGAAACATCGATACAAATAAACTAAAAGTGAACCATTGAAGAACTTCACAATGCCATGAACTGCAATACACTGAACAAACTCAAATGCTGACTTTATTTAAATGTATTATGTCAACACATTTGACATAACTGTATTTGGTTAGTTGAGAGCTCAAATCTAAAATACAACCTAATATTTTGCATTCAAACGTAATTGTATTTCTTTTAACGAACCTAATACATGAATAATGTGTTATTTGTTGACATCATACACTTAATTAAAGTCAACATATCAGTTTCTTCAGTGTAGCATCAGGACTAATTTGATTTGATATAAATTGGTTTAATGCGGGTTAACTGGATACACTTTTAGTTTACAATCAATTTAATCCTCTTAAGACTTTGTTGTTATATCACAGGGTTTCAACAATTTGTGCAATGGCTTGAGCCCAAAATGCAGGACAGAAAGGACATAAATGCAGGCACAGAAAAGGGAGAGGTATTGGGGGGAAAAAAGTTAAGATGAGGACTGAAGGGCTGTTTAGAAACAAGGTGGAGATCAGCAGGGAGAGATGGAAGATGAACAGAAAGCAGGAGAGTGTCTTTGCCCCAGGCTCTGCAGGAGATGATAAAACAGAGTCCAGTTAAGGGGAGTTCTTGGTAACCACAAGGTGTGTGTGTGTGTGTGTCTATGTGTACGTGTAGTGTATGAAAACTCAAGATCCTCTTCATCTTCACACCTTACACTGCTATAATTATTGGCCTCTCTTTCGCTCTCACCCTCCCGCCTCTCTTCTTGCTTCCAACTATGCCAAGGGCTTTTACATTCACAGTTCCCACTCCGCTGCCTACTCTCTGTCACTCTCCCATCTCCACCCTTCACACCTCCCACCAGCCTCTAATTATCAGATCTAAGTAGGTCCCTCACAAGAAAAGAAGTCAGGAAAGAGCGGGGGAGAGAGAGTCAGTGAGTGGGAGTTGATAAGAGAAGAGGAGAAGGGTCAGTGAGCTGGATGAACAACGTATGCTGAGTTTGGATAGACGAATAATGGAGGGAGAAAGAATGAGAAAAAACAAAGAGGAGGTCACAGGAAAAAACAATGAGTCAGTGATGGAGAGAGGAAGAATAAAAGATAATTACACAGATAAAAAGAGAACCGCCAACTTGGTTTTCAGAACTCAGCGCTTATTATTTGGTTATGAGTCATATTAACAGTTACTTTTCTCCTTCTAGTCCTTCATTACATGACTGTAAGGCTGCCACTGAAGTTCACATCTTCTCACAAAGACACACACAAGGACATGTAAACTAGTCTGCGCCGCCACATTGTAAATGTAGTTAAAGACTGTCTCACCTCCTACTGACAGACCACTTATCTCTTTCTTCAGCCAGGAAAAAAATACATTAAAGATTTGTTCCAACAAAGTTACAAATACTTTTTCTCACTTGCCTCTGCTCTTAACTATACATTTTTCTTGAGTATTTCCATTTATGCTACTTCTACTCCACTACTTTTTAACAAAAATAGTCAAATTATTTAAATATTTGACAGAAAGTCAATCACAACTTTGTATGTCTATAAAAGTAAAATGCTACCCAGAAATGTTGCATAAATAAATATAATTATATACACCGATACTGCTCAATGATTTTGACTTCTATACTTTAAGTACATTTTGCTGATGATACTTTTGTACTTTTACTCAACTAAGATTTTGAATGCAGAACTTTTACTTGTAATTAAGTATTTTGATAATAATGTATTGGCCCTTGCACTCAAGTAAAGCATCCGAATACTTATTCCACCTCTGTTTATGGAGATGTCTGTGTTTGTATCTCGATTGTGTGCATGAAGAAGAAGAAGATACACTTTATTAATCCCTTACAGGGACATTTCTTTCCCCACTCTGTTGTTTTTACACACATTACACACACGGGAGGATATACATGCACACACACAACCACATGCAGATAGGAGAGGTGGCAGAGCAGAGAGGCTGCCAGGTACCCAGCGCCAAGGGAGCAGTTTTGAGGTTATGTGCCTTGCTCAAGGGCACCTCGGCAGTGGCCTTGGAGGTGAACTGGCACCTCTCCAGCTACCAGCTCACTCAATCTCTTTTTTTGGTCCGATCGGGACGTGAACCGACGACCCTTCGGTTCCAAGACCAAGTCCCTACAGACTGAGCCACTGCCGCCTGTATGTGTGATTTGCATTTGTTCCTCTGTTATTTATCGCACTTGAGCCTTTTATGGTGAAGAGGAATGGGAGTGGATATAAACGGACTGACGTTAGATCAACTTAAATGTTGACATAAATCTAAAAGGGCGACAGCGAGCATGACTGCCAACAACACAGGCTTCAGGAGCCAACTAGGATTCACGTGTGTTTGTCCGAACCACTGAGAGCCATCTCGGCCTCGGGGACTGCTGGCAGCGTTCACCGTGTGTAATATTAGTTTGTCTGAGTGTGTATGTATTCAACAGAAAAACCAGGGCTAAGTAGTAGAAAAAACACGCTGTACCAACAGCTAACACGCTTGTTTGTGGATTCCCTGCCACATTATACATTTTTCATGGTCATGAATGAAATAGGGCATCTGTTGGGTGCAATTTATTCACTGCTGTTTCTTCTATCGCAAAACATGGCAAGGGTGAGAATAAAACATTTATTGACTTTGACACAATTTGAAGTAGTAGTAGTAACCATTTCCATATGTGTGTTTATGTGTCACTGTGGGGGATCATTTAACCGAGATTACACAGATGAGTATTTGGAGCAAAGCTTTAAAATCACCCTTTTGTCGGTAGAAGGAGATAATGAACAGATACAATAGTGGATATGTGTATGTATGTGTGTAGCAGCTTGCTTTTTAAAGTTGCCCATCTCTATGAAATGTTTTTCATGAAGGCAGATGATGCAAGAGATGCTGTCTGGCTGTTTATCATATACTGAAATGAAATTCCAAGGCTGTAGTTTATATTTTGTATGCGTTTGCATTCATATGTGTGTGTGTGTGTGTGTGTGTGTGTGTGTGTGTGTGTGTGTGTGTGTGTGTGTGTGTGTGTGTGTGTGTGTGTGTGTGTGTGTGAGAATGTGCACCATCATTTCAGTGAGTAATAACCTTGAATCTGCTTGCATGCATAAGAAAGTACTCTCTCACTCTCTGTGTGTCTGTGCACATTCCTATCACTATCTGCCACTATCAGTGTAGATCTGTGTCTTCAAGACTCAGTGAAAGTCACCGTGTTAAGTCACACTCCAGTGCTTCCCATGCCTTCATTTCCACAAACCAGATCAGATGTAATGTCCCCATTGTTCAAGAGTATTACCTGAAAGAGATGTGATTAAAAATGGAATGAATCTCTCTTTGCTCGCCCACTCATCTTCGTACTCCAAATACAGGCCGTTCGTTGTGAGGAAAATGAGATTTGGAAGAGCAAACACATGCTCCACCTCTTCCTTCCTCTCCTCCACCGCTGAACCCCCTCGCCCTGTTTGTCATTTATCTATAATGACTTTGTGAATAGTGTCACAGAGCGTTCCCCTCTCTCACCACGCAGCAGCCAGTCACTCAGCCTCACCCAATCAAGTGGCTTTTAATGAACTTCAAACAAGTGTTATCACCCAGTTCAACTTGCGCTCTGCTTCACTCCCCCCAGCTCCATCCAGGCGGGGGATCACCTTATCTGCTTTCCTTCTTTTCGCCCTCTTTCCTCCTGCCTCTTTGACATGCTAAAGCTCCTCCTGTCGCATATGCTTAATGATATTTTTTGCCTCTTTCAGTCTCTCGGTTCTTTTGTGGTTTCTCTCTCATTTTTGCCTATTTTGCCCTCTATTCACCGCTCTCTCTAAAACAGTTCATAGAAGTGCTGTTGTCTCTCTTTACCTCTCCGTCATCTTTCACTTCTGCTTGTCAGTCACCTCCCTGCTTTTCTTTCCGCTTGTTCTCTCCTTCCCTTTTCTCTTCTTTGTCCATCTCTTCACCCCTCCTCGCAGTCTTCCTCTTTTCTGTCAACCTGATTTCAATCCACCAGTTAAAACCAAACATGTTAATACAAACTGTTCGCACATATCAATTCTGTTTAAGTGTGTACTTCATTGTATCATTATTGCTATGTATTGCTATGTATTGTGTATAATGTCGATGGAGTACCCGTTGGGCTGGTCCTTCACTCACAGTGAATGTTAGCAGGAGACCCAACAGGAACTATCATAAATAAAAGCACTAAAACATTGGAAAAGGCACACACTGGAGTGTTTATGTTATTCAATTACATGAATGTTTGAGAAGAACTGTGATCTGCTACCTGATGAAAAACTTTTTTAAATATATATTCCTGGTCAAATCAGCAACTTCCCTCTGTGTTTTAAACATTCCAAGTCAGTTATTTCCTGTATTGTAATTTCATTCATAATAAAGCACTGGTCAAACTAGTTATGAGTTAAGACCATGTATTTGTAGGTCCTCAAAAATGTCAGCACAGAGAGGTAATTATAAATCATCATTCCAATATGATCTGACTTATCTATGCACATGTTATGGCCAATTGATAAGCCTGTAGACATGTTTTGAATAATGTCATAAAGATTTACGTAATATAGCTACAGACTGTGTGGTCATTTGTAAATGAATTATGACATAGTAATGGCCAGATTCAAATTTGTGACAGTGAAGCAAATGTGATCCATGATTCCATAATCCATAAAAGAGAGTTTTGCATTTCTCTGTGTGCCTCAGGTGACAGACAATCTGAACTGCTAATAACTCGAGTGCAAAATGACACGGCAGGATCTTATGAAGTAACATCCATTTCATTTGTAATGATGCATAAAACCTGATGAGAGGACTCATGGAAACAAACGATCCTCTCTTTTCTGTTTGTCTCTCTTCCAGGGATGTCCCCAGCTGTTGCCTGCAGACAGGATCCTGGTGCCGGTGGACGTGGTGAAGCCCATCACTCTCCGGGCGAAGAACCTCCCCCAGCCCCAGTCGGGTCAGAGAGGGTACGAGTGTCTGCTGACCATCCAGGGGAGCGAGCACCGCGTTCCTGCCCTGCGCTTCAACAGCTCCTCAGTGCAGTGTCAAAACACATCGGTGAGGACGAGTGCGTGCATGTGTGTGTATCTTACTGGCCAGCCTTTCTGGGATGTCATCACTGAATGCCCCATTTTTATAAAGTGTTCCTATTAAATATATTTGTAATCCCTCTCACACACACATAGAGCCACACACACTGATTCCGGCTGACTGGTTTTTCCTTTCCCAGCTAGGCAGTGGGCTGATGAGACAAGAAGCTGACTCTGTCTCCCCTCGCAGCCTGCGATCATGCTCCATTCTCTGACTGAATAATACATTGACAGCAATGAAAGACTAGCATGAAAAAGGCTTTTTACTGGTCTTGATGCTAATCGTCTGTTGATACAATAACATCTCATCTTCCTGTCTATCTTCATCCCTTTGGGTGTGCGTATGTCACTGTCTGGAGAAGTCTGCAGGTTTTGTGTGTATAATCACAGTACAATCCAAATATTGTACTGTGATTGAGCAGAGAAGAAGGGAAACTGTAATTTAGCGGAAAATTATGATTCTATCTCCATCCTCCTGCTACTAGTGTTATAGAGCCAAGTGAAAAATGATCTTTTTCCAAAGCTCTCTAGTGTGTATATTCCATTTGTTGTGAGTTCAGTGTGTGTGAGTTCATGTGTGTGAGTTCAGTGTGTGTGAGTTCATGTGTGTGTTGACTGTCTTCAGCCACCTGTTGATGATGCGTTTTGCATTCAGAACCGTATTGTTCTATCAGAGCCTTTTGGACTGGAGGATAACAGACAGTTTAAAGAGGCTCAATAGCTTCTCTCTCTCATACCCTCTTCCACATCTCTACCTCTTTCCCCCTCCGGTTGCTATGGTGATAGTATTTCTATGATGGGATGGAGATGAGCAGTCTTCCCGTGGTGCTGACCGTCATCTGGAACGGAGATTTCACCATTGACAACCCCGCCAACAACAAAGGTACGCATGCACACACACACACAAACACAAACCCACACTCCAACACACACACACACACACACACACACACACACACACACACACACACACACACACACACACACACACACACACACACACACACACACACTTGTGAATCCATATCAGCTCTTTCCATAGTTTTCACTGCTTTATTAGAAACCACAAACGCATGCACATAGTTGTCATATTCTCCCATAAACTCTCATTTAATCACAAATGCACACATATACACACACACAGGAAAGCTGCTGCTTCCCTATTGTTGCCCTTGGAGTCTCCATGGCAACAGGCGGGCGGTGTGCTGAGGTGCAGCATCCATCCCCTGATGTTGCGTTTAGAGTGGTTAACTTTAACGCATCCTCTCTTACGCTTCTTATTCTGTAGATCTCGTTCCCTTCTGCACTTCACTGTTTGGCCCAGCTCTCTAAATACAATTTAAAAAACATTATTTATTTTCAGCTTGTTTCCCTTATTTTTTCTATCAACAGAGTTTGGCAAGCTATCCATCTCCGTCGGCAGTGCTGTCTACTCCTTCCATTTAATTTCTCTCATCTCAGCGACTCCAGTTGTTTACTTTCTCATACATTTCAGAAGAGCAGCAATGGCAATACATGTTGATAAAAACAAATGTCAAATTGTTTAGGAATAACTAAATCTGAAATAAGCAAAGTTAAATAACTGTTTCATGCTGAGGAACGGTATAAAACAAATCAATATCTTGATATAAATGCTGCTTTTCGTTTTATTCTGTCCAACCAACCAATTTATTTACGTTTCATGTGGGATGACTGAGATTTGAGGCTTTCAGCATTCGGCTGCTGAGCTTGATTCAGTTTGGTTATTGGCGACCCACCACTGTGAGTGATCCCTGCTGGAAACAGCAGCATGCTGGGGGATGTAGTTCTTTGACAGGAAAACAACTTATTTTAACCTAAGGCAGTAGAGTCGGGCATATTGTTAAAATACGGAGTGTGCTGCAAGGCAAAGTTTGTAAAGTATTTATGTGTTTGAGTCAAATACAGCGTACAAAACATATCCCTGAGCATGATAGGAAAATCAAAAGAGAAACAAAAGTTTGAAGGAAAAGATAAGATGCTAGAACTAGAGAATCCTTCTCACCATCCTCATACCTTGGTTTGCCTGTAGAGGAAGCGTCTCCGGGGGCATCTTTTGATGGACAGATCATACATGCATCTAATGGCAATTAAAAAGAAAATGGCTGGCTTGTTGCCATGGAGATGATATGTTAAATATGTGGTGAATGAGCAGATGAGAGAAGCAGAAAGGAAGGAAATTCAAAGAGAGGAGAGAGTATATAGAGTTGATGATAGATGGAGAAATAATGAGACAAAGATATCAAGAAATGTATCTCTCTAAATGTTCAGTCGCATATTTCAAACAGCAGCTGACAGACAATGAGAGATTTGGGTAAACAACCCAAATTGTAGTTTATGTGTTTTGAAGTGTTTGTCCGTCATTTTAGAGGCTTTTGCGCAAAACATTTGCATACATTAGCTGCACTGTAATCAGTTTTACAAAGGTTGTTTACTTGAGGTTTCCACTCTTTCTCCCTCTCTCTCTACCTCCTTCCTTCCTTCCCCCTTGTTTTCTTTCTCTCTGTTTCTTTCCTCCCTCCTGCACAGTCCATCTGTACAAGTGCGACGCCCAGCGTGGGAGCTGCGGTTTGTGTCTGAAGGCGGACCCTCTGTTTGGATGTGTGTGGTGTAAAGGAGACAACCGCTGCACCCTCAAACAGCACTGCCCCCACCCCGAGAACCAGTGGCTGGAGCACAACGGCATCAACAGCAAGTGCACCCACCCGAGGATCACACAGGTACACACACACCACAACACACATCACCGCAGTTGTGTTATGTAACAAAGTCCATTTACTTAAGTCCTGTACTTAAATACAATTTTGAGGGAATTGTATTGAGTATTTTGCTACTTTGTGTTTCTACTCCACTACAAGTCAGATGTAAATAGTGTATTTATGTCCACCACATTTATTTAGTTCCTTTATTTACTTTTCTGATTTTGTTTAACGGTGTGAAATATAACACTTTAAACTTAAATTACACCGGAGTAAATTCACAAGCTACCCTGCTGTATACAAAGTCATTATAACACTTTAATGATCAATAATTATAAAACATATCATATATATTATTCTGAAATGGACCAATCTGCACAATGACTAATTTTACTTTTGGTACTTTAACTATATTTTGATGATAACACTTTTCTAATTTTACTTGAGTAACATTTTGAATGCAGGACTTTTATTGTAACAGAGTAACACTCTGGTACTTCTACTTTTACTCAAGTACAAGATCTGAGTACTTCTTCCACCTCTGTCTGATTTCAAACTCTTCCATTAACACCCTGAGTAAGTTTGCAGCTGTGTGTTTCACTCCACTTTGTTGTAAATCAAACTGCAGCAGCTTGACCACAGAGCGTGAACGTTGTGATCAGCTGATTTTGCGCAGTTCTCCAGTGTGTGCACGGGGCACAGAATGTGCACAGGGGAGTCTACAATAGCCTTGGTCCCCAACAACGCGCCGCCGCCCGTCGCTTTCCAGAGCCAACCTACAGTCTCGAAAATAAGACTTAGGAAGTAGAGGCCATGTAATCTCAAGATTACTAAGGAACGACCCCCTCTCCTCTCCCCCCAACTTAAATCTTTCGACTTTACTGTGCACCATCACTAGTGGTGGTTTTGGATGACTACAGTGTGATGTAGGATATCTGCAGTCTCTATAATAATAACGACTTAAATTTACTTCCAGTCAATAAATATTATTCAAAAAAATATCTGCACCATCCCCTATCACTGTTGTAGGCCCCCCGATCAGACATTCTCCAAACTCATCTGCGCCCCACGCCGCCGTCATCCCACCATACCAGTTCATACTACATCCTCGCGCCAATCTTCCATAATTACTCTTCTCCATAATTACCTCCCTATCTTCCGCACAATCTATAATACACTTCACCCCCCCCCATCGTTCACGTTTCGCGAATCACTCCACGCTCTACGCACTGTACCCCCTCTCTCCCTCCCGCCTCAAACAGCGGCCTTGTCGGCGCGCTAACTCTTCTCTCCTGGTACTACTCCCCCCCCATACTCTCCTGCCTGCCAACCCCTCCGCGCCGCCTCGCCGACCGGACCGAGACCCGCCTCGACCCGAACCTTGTCCCCTGCGCGCCGCGCCCTCCCTTCTTCCTATTGGGAAGCTTTGGAAGAGTCTCTGAGGTACAGAGGAAGAAAATTTCGAAGAGAGGACCTGCGCCTTATTGCTTGTTTCGATTATTGTCTGTCAATTGCCAGCCAATACTTTTTGAATTAACACGGTTATTTAGAGGCTTGACCG